AGGATAGGAAAGGTAGCAGAATACAACAGTTACTAATATGGCATTATGTAAAAATGTGGATGTGTAACCGATGTGATTCTGCAATCTTTGTAATGTTTTGAACAACCAATTAAATAAATAAATAAATAAATAAAATGATCCATATTATCATAGTAGTAGGTTTGATAGGTAACTTATTTTGTACTTAATAATTCTTTATAGGGTTAATAGATTTAATTAAAAATTTAAGACCAGACTTTTCTAATATGCTGAGTTTTAAAATTAATTGGCATAGTATCTTATCTGTTAGAACTCCCCCCTTTTCTTTTTTTGGCCAGGGAGAGTTTGTATTTTCAAAGAAAAAAACTTAGCATTAAGTTAGGTAAGTATTTTACCATCAAAATTATGAACCACCTGCAGAACTAGTCTACTAAGCTAGATAAATAACTAGAACTTACTGATATTTTATCTTAGTTCTTTTCCTTGGGAAGTGAAGAAGAGATTACATTTCTAGCTGTTATTCCTAAACAAATAGAAAGAAAAACCTGTGACCCAAGGTAAAATTTGTGAAGAATATTGATTTGTGTAACTCTGTCTTTTCCTGGTGTGTGTATATGTGTGTGGTGTGTGTGTTAAGCAGGTATTAATTTTTATAGGCAGATTAGTGGGCATAATAAATTAGACTGATTTTAATAATAAAAGACTATTTAATGATTTCTTGGCTGCCTCTTTTTTTCTGTCTTGAACCTTCTCTGTAATATTAATGAGCTAATAATACAGTGTATGCAGTATCCATAAATATATACTAGGGGATGAACCTAAGGCTAGGTACAGTACATTAAGACTTTTCTATGACATACAAAATGAGAATCTTTAACATATAGTTCACTCTTCCACTTCTACTTCTGACTGGATATATAGATACATGTAGCCCAAGCTCTAAAAGTAGTGTACCTTCTCTACATCAAAAATATGCAGAAACAGGCCAGGCATGGTGACATACACTGGTAATTCAGGCTATTCTTGAGACTGAGCCGGAGAATTAAAAGTTTGAGGCCAGCTTCGCAACTTAGCAAGACCCTTTCTCAAAGGAAAAAATAAAAAGAGTTGGGGATATAGCTTAATTTTAAAGTGACAATCCCCAGTACTGGGGGAAAAATAGCAGCAACAATAGCATGTAAAGGATTGGGTTTCTAAATAGTGTAGTTCCTAAAAACTCTGAAAGAGATCTGTATGGCAACATAGTAGACAAAGCAACTGTTTCCTTGTGGGGAATGGATATTCCCCATCAAACAAAGCAGAACTATTCAGGATTTTTAACAGTTAAAACATGTATGTTTTTAAATTCAGAAGAATATCTCAACAAAAACCCTATATAAAAGGGCATTTAGCTTTGATTTTCCTTCTTTTTATTTTTTTTTTAAGAAAGGTTTACATTTTTTTTTAATCTTTATTTTTATGTGGTGCTCAGGATTGAACTCAGTGCCTCCCATGTATGAGGCAAGCGTTCTACCGCTGAGCTAAAACCCTGATTTTCCTTTTAAATTGTGATTAGAATGTTCATTTTTGAATAACAGTATACTTAGATTATGTATTATTGTTATTTTGTTAATTCATTGTTAGAAATAACTGAAATCTTTATGGACATTCCTTTGGTCCCATTAGCAATTTTCACATACATTCTGGTTGGGTTTTGTTACTGTTTGGAGAAAAATGCTAACACCCTCAGGAGGGCAGCAGAGAGTTATTTAAAGCTTTGCGTACAATTCTGAAGAGATCAAAGAGTCTGAGAATCAAGTCTCTATTGTTATCATACTCTTAAGCCTTTGCTCTGAGAGCAGTAAGACTGGATCTTCTGCTGGATGCAGGGTACACATTTTTCATCTTATAGTGAAGCCTGATAGTCTACAAATCTGTCAAGCAAAGGAAAATATTTCTGTGTTCCTTCTCTTTCTTCCCTTTCTATTATATGTTTGATTGCTCCCTGTATGCCAAGCATTATAAATGCAGTTTACACCTAGATGAAGCAAAAAGGTCTTTCCTTTCAATAGAGTATATTAATATACAGATGCAGAAAAACTTCACTGTAGTATATAACATGTATACGTTATATATAATGTGTTATATATAATGTGTGTGTGTTGCATATTTATGTGATGTATAGTGAAACAGAGAGAAAGAAATAGTCTCTCTGGCTTAGTTAGCCATTCTCATCATTATACTCTATAATAATGAAAAATTCATACATATTGATGTAGTTTTAAATCTATGTGTAAATTAAATTTACTTGAATATAGTTTTAAATCAACGCTCTCTAAATTTGCTATCCTTAACATTTGTTTTAGAGTAATAAGAGTATATCCTAATTTTTAAAATTAGTCCTCTTGGGCTGGGGATGTGGCTCAAGCGGTGGCGCACTTGCCTGGCATGCGTGTGGCCTGGGGTTCGATCCTCAGCACCACATACAGACAAAGATGTTGTGTCCGCTGAAAACTAAAAAATAAATATTAAAATTTTCTCTCTCTCTCTCTCTCTCTCTAAAAAAAAGTATAATGATTAAAAAAAATAAATATAATTAGTCCTCTCTAGTACTTATTTACATAGAGAATATTTAATAAAAATCTGAGTTATATGTTGTTATCTGTGTAAATACATTGTGAATATATATGTTGATATATACTTATTCTTAATAATTTACCTATAGCCTGTTGAGTTTCAAGGACACCAACTGAAAGGATCAGCTACTAGTGGTGTAATGGTCAGAGGAAAGAGCTCACAGCTAGTATACAGCCAGTTTCCAGATAGCATGGAATATCAAAACTTCATGCCAGATACTTGTTTTTTGACACCAGAGTTGCCTAGCTCTTGTATGCATACTGACTTCTTGCAGGTAAAGATATTTTTATGGTTGTATTTTCTTTATGTCAATATTATTTTATAAAGAGATTGTAGTTAAATCTTTGTACAAAAGAAGTACAAGATGGGCTGGGGTTGTAGCTCAGTTGTAGAATGCTTGCCTTGCATGTATGAGGCCCTGGGTTTGTTCCTCAGCACATTAAAAAAATAAATAAACAAAGGTATTGTGTCCATCTACAACTAAAACAGAAATTAAAAGAAAAAAAAAAAGAAGTACTAGTAGTAGTACAGGAGTATATTGACAGGAGCCATAAATCAAAGATGGAGTTTCTCTCAATCTGTCTGTTTTTTGACAGATGAATAAATTAGAGTATTCTACATTGAAAAAGAAACTTATGCCCATTTGTTTTATTTCTTACTACTTTCACAAATATCAGTTATGGTTATATGTTAAATATCCTAAGTCTATAAAAAAATGTTTTCAAGCAAAATAACTAAAGCTGCCAAGAGAGAAAAGTGCCTTCTTAAATATGTGTGATGTATTACTAACATATAGCAGTCTCTGAACTTTAAAAAATATTCTGTGTTTCATCAAATTCTAAGATACTATCATTTAAAAAAAATCTTTTATTTTTATTTGTTTATTTATATGGGGTATTGGGGATTAAACACAGGACCTCATGCATGTGGGGCAAGTGCTTTACCACTGAGCTACAACCCCAGCCCCAAGATACTATCATTTTAAGACACTATCATTATATGGCACTCAGAAGAAAAGAAATCATTTAAACATTATAGAATACCTTATTACTTCAACTTTTTTTTTTTTTGTGGTGCTGAGATTTGAACCCAGGACCTCAAATCCACCACCTGAGCTATATTCCCAGCCCTTATTTAGACTTTGAAAAACATTAAAACAGCCTTTTTATTGTAGCAAAAACATATATCATAAAATTTATCATATTAACCACTTTTTTCCAGTTTTAGATTTTTTAATTGTTTCATTTTATATAATTATTTGCTATACCTTTCTTTTTATTTATTTATTTTTGGTATTACTGGGGATTAAACTCAGGGCCTCATGTGTGATAGGCAGGTGCTCTATCACTGAGCTACATCCCCATCCCTTTTTATTTAGAGATAGGGTGTCATTGAATTGCTTAGGCAGGTTTTGAACTTTCTCATCTCCTGCCCCAGCCTCCGAAGTAGCTGGGATTGCATGCCTATACCACTGCATCTGGCCATATTAACCATTTTTAAGTATACAATTCAGTGGTAGTAAGCATATTTGCATTGTTTAAAAACAGATTTCTAAAACTTTTTCATCTTCACTTAGACTTATTTTTGAAAATGTATTTTTATTTATAATTGACATTATACATATTTATGGGGTTTGGAGTTACATTTCATTACATGTATACGATATATAATGAGTAATTATCATATCTGTCATCTCAGACATTTATCACTTCTTTGTGTTGGAAGCATTCAAAATCTTACTAGCTATTTGAAATATTCAATTAATTTGTCTATTATCATCATCTGTGTTATAGAATATTAGAAACTATTTCTCCTGTCTAGCTGTACCTCTGTACACGTTAGCCATCCTCTCATCTCCCCTTTTCTCTCCCCCAAACCCTTCCCAAGCTCTGGTAACCACTATTGCATTCTCTAATTCTATAAAATAAATGTTTCAGTTTCTATATAAGTGAGAATGTGTGCTATTTGTTTTTCTGTACATGACTTCTTTCACTTAATATAATTCCAGTTCTATCCATATTACTGCAAATGATGGAATTTCATCATTTATTATGGCTGAAAATATTCCTTTGTGTGAGTACACCAGAGTTTCCTTATCCATCAGTATATACCTATCTTGGCTATCATGAATAGTGCTGCAGTACTTAGGAAGTACAGATGTTTCTTTGACATAATGATTTCAATTCCTTTTGCTGTATACCCAGTAGTAGGATCGTTGGGTCATCTCATAGTTCTGTTCTAATGTTTTCCATAATAGTTTTACTAATTGGCATTCCCACTAACAGTGGATAAGAGTTCCCCTTTGCATCCTTCTAGCATTTGTGTGTGTGTGTGTGTGTGTGTGTGTGTGTGCGCGCGCGCGCGCATGCATGTGTTTGTGTTTTCTGTAATGGCCCTTCTAACTGGGGCAAAGATGACATGCCATTGTGGTTTTGATTTCTGTTTTCTTGATGGTTAATAAAGTTGAGGATTTTTTCATATACCTGTTGGCCATTTGGATTTTTTTTTAAAGAAATGTCTATTCAGATTATTTACCCATTTTAAAATCAGATTATTTTACTTTTTTCTGTTGAGTAATATATTCTTGTTATTAATTCCTTGTTGAATAAATAGTTTGTTTATATTTTTTTCCATTCTGTAGAGTTTTCTCTTTACTCTCTTGTTTCCTTTACTGTGTAGAAGCTTTTTGATTTGATATAACCCCATTTGTCAGTTTTTTCTTTTGTTGCCTGTGCTTTTAGGGTCATATCCAAAAAAAATCTTTGCCCAAACCAGTGTTCCACAATGTTTCCCATTTTATTTTACCAATTGCATAGTTTCTAGTTTCTTTCTTCTGTATATGGATATCCATTTACCTGCATCAATTTTAGAAGAGATTTTCCTAAGATTGAGGTCAAAGTTCCAGATGACTCAATTTCTGGTGAGGACCTCTTTATGCCTTGTAGATGGCTGCCTTCTTGCTATGTCCTCACATGACCTTTCCTTGTTGTGTGCCTTGGGGAGGGCAGAGAGGGAAGAACAATGGGAGGGTGAGAGAAAGAGAGAGCATGTGTGCAAACACATATAAAGAAGAAAGTAAGGGATCTTTGGTATCTTTGCTGATATCAGATCAGGGTCTCATACTTATGACCTCATTTAACTGAGCTTTCTCGTAAAGGCCCTGTCACTAAGAACAGTCACACTGAGAGGTATGGCTTCAACATGTGAATTTGTGGGGCACATAATTCAGTCCATAGTAGGGAGCAGCAGCTTTGGTGAGTATGTAGACAGAGATAAGAAGTGCCTGTGAAAAAGACAAGTAGAGATATTAGATTACATGGATTTGTTCCAGAGAAGATGTTTGTACATTTATTTGCACAACGAAAAGTTTACAATGGGAATGGATGGATTTATTTAAAAAGTATAGAGAGTAGAGAGCCTGGGTTATCTCCCATTCTCAGAATCGAGACAGATCAATTATTGTTGAAATAGCCAATAAAATAGGAATAGAAATATATCCTATTTCATTTAGCAACTCAGAGATCATTGGTGATCTTGGCAAGATCAGTTTCATTTAAATGGTAAGGTTTTATAAAAAACAGTTTAGAGAAAAAAAGAATGAGTGAGAGGTAAGAAAATTGACATTATGGCAAACTCATGAAAAAGAATGGCATATTTAGTCAGTCATTCATTCAGGAGACATTTCTTTATGTTACACTATCAAGATAAGCATGTGAATAAAACAGGTAAATTCTGTCCTCATAAAGGAGACAGACAATGAAAATATACACTACTCAAGGTTTGGGGTGTTGTGGAGAATCATATAGCTATGTAAGAAAATTAGGGAATGCAGGTGAGGATGGAGTTCTATTTAAGTAGGTAAGGTCAGACCTCTTCAGTAAGATAACATTGGAGCAGAGAACTAGGTGAAGGAAGGGAGAATATTCCAGGCACAGGTAACAACAAATGCAAAGGTTCTGAGGCAAGAGAAGGCTGGCGTGGAGTGAGTTAGGAGTGAGCGAGAGGGAGAGTGGTAGAAGTGAAGTCAAAGAGCAGGAAGCCCGGCTTGGTGGTGCATGCCTGTAATCTGAGCGCTTCCAGAGGCAGAGGCAGGAGGATCACAAGTTCAAAGCCAGCCCTAGCAATGGTGAGGCACTAGACAACCCAGTGACACCCTGTCTCTAAAATACAAAATAGGGCTGAGGATGTGGCTCAGTGGTTGTGCACCCCTTAGTTCAATCCCCAGTACTTTCCTCTGACACCACCTCCTACCCCCAACAAAAGAGTAGGAAGTAGACTGGTCAGATAGGACCACATAGGACACTTGAAGAGCTGCCTTATACTTTGAAAGAGTCTGAGAGCCATTGGAGGGTTAAATACTTGAACTTAAATTTTAAAAAGAATTCTGGCAAATATGTGGAGAAGATAGTAGGAGTAGGGGAACATGGTAGAATATTCAATCAGCATTTCCTCTTATTATAATTTTTGTCCAATGGGAAATGCAGTCTAAATTGCCCAGTTTTAAATTCTCAGCTCTGTTGTGTATAAGCTGGATGAATTTAAGCAAGTCTACTGTTTTCTGCTTTTTTCCTTAGCTCCATCAGTTGCAAAATAAGGGAAATAAGAGTATATACTTCATATGGGTATGATAAGGATTAAAGTTAACAATAGCAAGAGCTCAGAACAGTCCCTGGTACATAGTAAGAACTTGATAATATAGGAAAGCTATTATTATCATGTTGATCAAGTTATAATTTCCCATTTGTTTGTATCTTTCACTAGAATGAGCCCCTTTCGTGGAGACCATGAATATTCATTTTCTCATTCTTAGTTCCTAACACAACACCCCAAACCCAGTAGCTAATCAAGAAAATGTTTTTTAAAAAAATGTGTATGTACGTGTGTGTGAGTGTGTGAGAGTGTGTGTGTGTGTGTGTGTGTAGTTTCTGGTTTTGTTGGGTTTCTTTTTCTCTTTTTTTTTTTGGTGGTATGGAGGATTAAACTCAGAGCTTTGCACCTGCCAGGCAAGCACAGATACACACCAACCCTAAATGTATAAATGTATATTGTATATTTATTAAAAAACGAAACAAAATGAACATACATACATACAAGCATATTTATTTTTATTAGTTCAAACCATTCAGAAAAGTATGAAATTACAAGTAAAACAGCCTCTGATTCCACTCCTATCAGAAACCACTCTTAACATCTCTAAATGTCTATTTTTAAATTCTGTTTATACAAACATATTAAATATAATCATCATATTAGCTTTTAAGATGGTTTATTTCTGGAATTAGCATCAGCAAAATTAAAGGCCAATCTAATGAAAATAATAGTGAATTGGGATATATTTAAAAAGTCACTTATTGAGGAACAATGTGTTAAAGTTTCAGTCAAGTATAGATAAACCCCAGATCTGAGGACATAAGAGAAAACTATGTGTAGGAATTTAAACTTTCACAAGTCCAAATATGAGACCTGAGTCTCTCACGATAGTAACTGATCTTTAGAACCAAATCCTCATAACCCAGTTCACTCTTAATGAGAATTGGACCCACTTCAAATAAATCTGAAGACTTTGTGTTCTCTGTTTGTTTAATTTTTTTTTTTTTAGTTGTAGATGGACACAATACCTTTGTTTTGTTTTATTTATTTTTTTATATGGTGCTGAAGATAGAACCCAGTGCCTCACACATGTATACAACCCCAGCCCCTGTGTTCTATTTTACTTCTATTATTATTGTTGATTTTAATGAATTATCCTGTCCTTTTTGAAAGAAGTTTTATGATAATTTGCCCTCATCATAGCTTTAGAATGTGCTTGAAATCATTATTGTTATTAAAAAAATTGCTTTAGTTGTAGATAACACAATACCTTTATTTTATTTATTTATTTTTATGTGGTGCTGAGGATTAAACCTAGTGCCTCACACATGCAAGGCAAGTGCTCTATCACTGAGCTACACCCACAATCACAGCCCCTGAAATCATTATTTTTATAATGTAAATTACTAAAATTCATTCAAACTATAAGGAAAAAATGTATTAAGATTTTTGTCTGTTATTTTGTTTCTTCTTAATAGGTGAAGTCACCAGAACAAAAGTTCTCTACATTGAGTCCTGTTTCTACTTTTTCTTTGAACTCAAGAAATGAAGATGTTCTAAAATTCTCTGAAGAGTCCCTGAAAGCAAGAACTTTACCTGGTGACCTTGACTTTCTCTCCTTGGAGACTATATTACTCAAATCACTATTAGTCCATGTAGTGAAGTTTTTATTTGAGAGATAGTTACTAACCAAAAATACCCTGGAACTAGATTCAGTATCATAGCCCTTGAGGCCTCCCACATCTTTTCTTTCTTTTGACTTTTTCTATTTTAGATATTTGTCTCAATTACAATGTTCCCTTCTAGTTCCTTCTTACTTCTCACTCCAACTGTCTTATCACATGCCACTGAAAATGTCTTTGACACTTCTCATAGTTGTAACTCCACAGTGTAACCTCTCTATGACTACTTTTTCTCCCAGAGGAATGACTCATTGCAAATGTCTCCTCAACACTGATGGTTGACCTTAGCATAACCTTAGTTTCCTTTTTTGCTTTGGGATTCTGGCATTATCAAGAAACACTTCAACTTCTGATATCATCATTGCACTCTCAGGCCTCAGTGTTTTCATATATTTTGATTCTTGTGAATTCTTTCCTGCTTCTTAATAAGTATACTATTATTCTGTAGGTCTTACACTAACTTTTATTTTCCTCTTTCTCCTTTCTTTTTAAAAAAATGATACTGGGAATTGAACTCAGATGTTTTTTCACTTAGGTAAATCCCCAGGACTTTTTATTTTTTATTTTTTAGACAGCATAAGTTGCCCAGAATGACCTCAAACTTTCCATCCTCTTGCTTCAGCCTTCTAGTTGCTGGGATTACAGGCATGCACTACTGTGCTGGGCTTCCTCTCTCTTTTCTTATCATCTCATCAATATATATTCCCTTCATTCAGAAGTTATGTTGGGTGAGAATGATGTTATATTTAAATTTTTTGATTATAAGTGGGTGATATAAAGAGGAAAAACGTTTTATGTGAATGAGTAGGTGGGCTTGGAGTCAGAATGGAAGGAGTAGGTATTTTACAACAAGTGTAATGGCAAGGGATTAACATGATTTTTATAGTTATGCCATTGATCTTTCACTTTCTTAATGGAGTTTTAAATTTTCTGTCAGTATTGTTTGACCAACTTGTTAGAATTACAACATAGCAGTTTATAAAAGAATATTCATTGACTCACCTACTGCTTTACTATTTTCCAAATGATCTTTCCCACAAAACAGAAATGTTGTCTGAAAGGTATGTTACTATACAACAAGAATCTATAGCATTGTCAGATGAAAACTTTAAGCTTGCATAGTTTCCACACAGTATTATTTATATTTCTAAGTATTCAACAAATATTTATTACTTCTTACATTTCTAGGAGCCTCTTTATACCAAAGCTGATGATAGGAGGAATTATAAAACTCACTCAGGCAAAAATCTGCTATGAGTTTATCAGAATTGTATTCTTATAATATTCTAATAGATCAAAATAAAGCTAAAATCTTTATGCTGAAGAGTAACATGATCATTCATGAATATAATAAACATATAAAGGAAGTTACAATCACATAGTCATAAGTGAGCCATGAAATTCAGTCTCTGGAGAATGAATATAAAATAAATATTAAAACCTTTTTCTGGGTTCTTATCATGATCCTGCCACTTGGCAGACAAGTTACTTCTGGGCCCCTTTGGTCTCATCTGTAAAATGAGAATGATACATCCTTTCTTGGCTTTGAAAGGCTTTGAAACCATTAGTTCTATATAAATGTAATATCAGAATTTTAGGAAAAAAAATCCTTAGTTAAGAAAAAAAGAGTACTTCAAGTTTATCAGTCTTAAAGTTTTAAAATCTATAAAATATCTTTGAAATTTTTATTTTTGAGATTAAAACCATTTTAAAATGCAATAAAAATATATATGCATATACGTAAGTGTATATGCATATATATATTTATTATTTATAGAGGAAGTTGGTACTTTAACCTTGGTGATGACTGGTAGTACATTTTCTATTTAATCAGCATCAGCATTGTTTTCTTTCAGGAATGAAAAAAATGAGTTCTCTGAAGAATAAAAACCTTCAACAGCTCCCATTAGTAAGTAGAGCTGGAGTTCCTTCTCCTGAACTGCCTAACTTTGATTCTTATTCATTTGTGTTCAACTGTGACACATCAGTCTTCTGATTTCCCCACATTCAACTTGCAGGAAGAGTCAGCAGTTTTTTCCTTTAGCTTTGGGTCTGAGGACCAAAGTGAAACTTTCTCTGAAGAAGCTATGAAAATGACTCCAGGGGATGTTTCACTGCTCAATACAAAGTCTCAAAGCAAGTGGCTAAAATATGAAAATACATCCCAATGTAACTTGACTACTCCAAACAGAGTTGATCTAGGAACGGATGGCTTCTTCACTGAGGCTATTTCTGGGATGCATTTTAGTGACTGCTGTGAAGGACAGAGTGAGGCTCTGAATGAAAGTTCTTTAGACTCTGTGCATTTGCAAATGATAAAAGGCATGCTCTATCAACAGCAGCAAGGTTTTAGCAGTCAAGATTTGGTTTCCAGAAAGAATGCACTTTCTTTGAGTTTAAAGCAGACTTCCAAATCTGAGGAGGCTCAAAATGTGTTAGGAAAGTCCACCTGCTACAACTATAGTGCACAGGATTTACAGGTGAGGAAATGCACCAGTCTCTTTTTTCCAATAGTTGCTGCCTAAATTTCAACAAAAGAAACACAGGTGCAATTTCACCTTTGGAATATATGGATTTTTTGATCTAGAGCTCTAGCTATAGTCACATCATCTCCTTTGATTTAAAGTCTTCCCTACTAGTTGTGAACGTTAAAGAAATTGTATGTTTGAAATTATCTGGTGCTATGTCTTCCATATAATAAGTATTTGATAAATTTAGCTCTTATTTCTGTATTAGAAATGACTACTTCCAATATAAATAGTACCATTCTTGTTTTTATTTATGACTATGAAGTCAATTTTTCAATTGGATTATTGTTAGGGTAATGGTACATTTATAATACACTGGTTATAATTCCTTTTTTTTGTGTGTGGTGCTGGGGATCCAACCCAGGGCTTTGTGCATGCGAGGCAAGCACTCTGCCAACTGAGCTATATCCCCAGCCCCTTGTTATAATTCTTATTATAGTTATAACAAGAAATAGAGATATACAGTGATCCATTCAGTTACATTTTCCTGGCCAAAAGAAATAAAAAATTAAAAAATGAATGGTCTAGACCAAGAAATTCAAAGTTGAATGTTTTCTCTGAAAGGTGGAAACTAATCAAAATAAGGGGGGGTGGGTAAAGAGAAGATGGATTCCACCGAAATAGAAGAAAGATCAGAAGAGTAGAAGAAGGGGATTGAGGAAATGATAAGGGAGTAAATCTGATAAGTGATAAGTGGAATAAATCTGACCTAACTTTACTATGTACATATATGGATATATAACAGTGAATCTCAATATTATGTATATATACAAATCACTAATTAGGAAAAAACAGCAACTTTAAGTAGCGGAAAGATCAGTAGAGAGAAGGGAACAAGGGGTGAGAGGAAGGGAGAGAAAGGGAAGTACTAGGGTCTGACTTAGAGCAAATTATGTTCCATGTCTTTATAGTTATGTCAAAATTAACCCTAATGTTATATATAACAAAAAAAAAAAGAGAGAAAATTCAAGGACTTATTAAGAGGTAGCCAAAAATGTTATTTGAAATTAAAAGTCTTATGCATTATTATTCTGGCTCTATCTGTATTCTCATTTAAAATTAGAAAACAATTTTCATGGACTCAAGAAACCAAAAGTAAAGTTAGTATATTTTCTTAAACATATCTATTTTTTTAAAAAAAGAGAGATAGAGAGAATTTTTTAATATTTATTTTTTAGTTTTTCGGTGGACACAACGTCTCCATTTCACTTTTATGTGGTGCTATGGATTGTCCCTAGCGCCCCATGCATGCCAGGCGAGCAAGCTACCGCTTGAGCCACATCCCCAGCCCTCTTAAACATATCTATAAAAAATAATTTCCTCAATGATAAACTGTTTTTTTTGTTGTTGTTGTTGGGGGGAGCTTTTATAATTGAATCATTTCATTTCAGGAGATAAACCGCTCGGAGCTATGCTTCCCAAGTGGACAAAAAGTAAAATGTGCTTATCTTCCCAAAAGGCAGATTCACATACCAACTGTTTTTCAGTCTCCAGCTGATTATAAGCAAACCTTTACCTCTTGCATCATAGGTATGACTGTTATATTTTTATTTTATTCTGATGGCCACTTAGTGTAATAGAACTATGGGAAAGTGTATTCTGAATTTTCAGGTGTATTGATTCTCTACTTCAGATTTGTTTTCCATGTGTTTACTTGTTTTTGACAGTAACTATTATTCTAACTTTTGATCAAAATAGAGCTTTAAAAACAGAAAATGAGGGCTGGGCATGTGGCTCAAGTGGTAACGCACTTGCCTGGCATGTGCCAGGCGCTGGGTTTGATCCTCAGCACCACATACAAATAAAATAAAGATGTTGTGTCCACCGAAAACTAAAAAAGAAATATTTTTAAAAAACCCTCTGTCTCTCTTAAAAAAAAGAACAGAAAAATTATAAAATTTTAAAAATTATCTTTTTAAAATTATAGTTTTTCTTTCTTTTTTCTTTTTGGTAGTTGTGTATAAATAGCAGGCCTTTATTTTTTTATTTTTTGGATACCGGGCACTTGACCACTGAGCTACATACCCAGCTCTTTTTTTTTTGTATTTTATTTAGAGATAGGGTCTCAGTGAGTTATTTAGTGCTTCACTTTTTGCTGAGGCTGGCAGTCCTCCTATCTTAGCCTCCTGAGCCACTGTGCCCAGCTTATTTGTTTTTTTTTTTTTTTTTTTTTTTTTTAAAGAGAGAGTGAGGGGGTGGGCGGACAGAGAGTGAGAGAGAATTTTAACATTTATTTATTTTTTCTTAGTTCTCGGCGGACACAACATCTTTGTTGGTATGTGGTGCTGCTGAGGATCGAACCCGGGCCGCAGGCATGCCAGGCGAGCGCGCTACCACTTGAGCCACATCCCCAGCCCCTTATTTGTTTATTTTTATTTGCTACTGAGAATCGAACCCAGTGCCTCACACATGTGCTCTGCCGCGGAGCTACCGCCCCAGCCTCATAATTTTTCATTTTTTAAAATAGAAGTTATTTCCAGAGAGTATGGAAAAGCAGGACTCTGAGACAGGACTTTCTGTAGTGGTTTGGCCCTGGATGATACAAAATTGTGAAAAATTAAATATTTTTTATAACAATATAAGTGACTTGTTTAGCTTCTATTTTTGTGTATTTAAAACAGATACCTTTATTATGCTAAGTGAAATTTAGCCAATCCCCAAAACCCAAATGCTGAATGATTTCTCTGATTTAAGGATGCTGATCCATAATATGCTGTGGGACAGTGGAGATGGGAGGATTAAATGAACTCTAGATGGGGCAAAGGGGAAAAGGGGAGGGAGGGGGAAGAAGGGTAGGAAAGATGGTAGAATGCGATGGTCATCATTAACCTAAGTACATGTAAGAAGAGACAAGGATGTGACTCTACTTTGTGTACAACCAGAGACATGAAAAATTGTGCTCTATATGTGTAATATGAATTGTAATGCACTCTGTTGTCATATATAACAAGTCAAAATTAAAAAAAAACAGATCCCTTAATGTTGATTTGTTCAGTTTCATTTTTGAAAAAAAGATATTGATATTGTGATTATAAAATTTCTGTGTTCATTTCAGCAATTTGTTAACATATGTAGAAGTATAAATCAGGGGGAAAATCATTTGCAACTTCTTCAACCAGAGATAAATATGGTCAAAAAAAAAAAAAAGAAGTGTTCCATGACTTGTTTAATTAAATGAAAAAATTTAAGTATGATGTATGATTAGGTCTGAGTGCTTCAAGATACAAGGGCAAATCCATCTTAAAAAACTGGACTGACTCATGTCTGTAAACCCAGCCACTTCACTGAGGCAGGAGGATCGCAAGTTTGAAGACAGCCTGAGCCACTTAGCAAGACCCTGTCTCACAGTTACATTCCTGAATGAAACTCAGAGGAAGAATCCTCTTTGCTTCAGTCCCTAGTACCTCTACCACCACCACCATAACAACAAAGGATATTTGTATTATGTTTTACTTTGATTCTATTTAAATGCTGTTATAAATTTTGGCTAATATAGAGCACATGTGATAGGAACACAAATTTTTTTTTATAAAGAAGGATTTTTATTTTTTAATATTTTATTTATTTATTTATTTTTATTTTTATATGACAGAAATGCATTACAATTCTTATTACACATATAGAGCACAATTTTTCTTATCTCTGGTTGTATACAAAGTATATTCACACCAATTTGTGTCTTCATACATGTACTTTGGATAATAATGATCATGACGTTCCACCATCATTTCTAACCTCATGCCCCCTCCCTTCCCCTCCAACAACACAAAATTATTTTGTATTTAAATTTCAACTATATCTACTTTTTTTCTAGAACATCTAAATATATTGCTGTTTGAGTTGGCACAAAGGTTATACAAAGCTCTTTCAAAAGTTGACATATCGTTTTACACATCATTGAAAGGAGAGAAAATGAAAACTGTAGAAAATAATTTGCCATCCTGTCATCATGATCAACCTGCAAAACTTGTCATGGTTAAAAAGGAAGGTCCAAATAAGGTATTGTTCCTCCACACACCTAATACTTACTTGTCTTATGCATAATTGGGTAACTGTTGCTTTATGGCAAGCTTGAAGAATGAGACTTGATTTAGGAGCCTTCTGTTTGAGCATTAGGAACTAATAATAGAGTAAACTCAGTTTTTATGAAAAGAATGAGCTGTATTCTGGAACACAAAAATATGAGTTAAGATTAACTTTCAAATTACTTTGGAACTCACCTCATAGTAATGAACAGAGAGATAACATGAAAGAAAATTTTTTATATTACTGTAATTGATAAACTGGAAGGATATGCCCAAGATACAGTGATACCACTGAGAAGGAGAATATGTTCCACATGAGGGTTTAGAAGAATGCAGGAATGGGCCTGAAAAAAATGAAGGTTGTCTGGCACATTGGCTAATGCCATCCTTGGGACACTGGGTGGGAGGATCAAAAGCTCAAGGCCAGCTTCTGCAACTTAGCAAAACTTTGCCTCAAAACAAACAAACAAACAACCAAAAAGCAAATAAATAGGGCTGGGGTGTGGTTCAGTGGTAAAATACCCCTGGGTTCAATTCACAGTATTTCTGCCCTTAAAATAAAAATAAATAAATAAATAAAAATTTAAAAAAGAAAGAATTGAAAGCTGTAAGCCTTTGTAATCCTAACAACACCAGAAGAATAGAAAATCAGACTGACCTGATAACATACCATGGAAAAAGTCAGGTTAGTAAAATGTGTATTGGTTGATAGCTTGTACTCATTTGCAAGACTGCTTTCTTAACCTATTATTTTTTCTTAACCTGTTTGCAAATCCTATTTCATTAATTATGTAAAGTTGATTTTAAATTTAGTTACCAAAAGCAAGAATTCATAACTAATATCATAGCCATAGAGAATGAAATATCATATAGTTACTAAAATCTTTGTTTTCTTTTCAAGATTATTTCATGACATGCTTATACTATATTGTTGGGTATAATGATTAGATTACAGAATAGAAAATGTGTCATCTAAGTTTTTTTTAAAAAAGACCACTATATACATTTATGTGTCTGTGTAAGTGAGGAAAAAGCTGGAAAAGAAATGCAGAGATATTGCTTGTTATTCTTTCTGGATAGATTTCAAATTGTCTATAATGAACACTTTATCAAAGAAATAATAAATTTTAATTTATTGTTAATTTCAAATAAGTTTTCATTCTCAGAATAATATAATCTTTTTCTCTTTTTGATAAAGAGAAAACATGGAAAAGTACATGGTTTTAAGTTTTATCATATTGTTTAAATTATTAATAAAATTAAATTGTATTGTGACTTTGTAGAGTATATTAGTAAGGCCAAGCAGTCTTCATAAGTATTGACAAGCATAATTTAAAAAAATAAAAATAAAAATATCTTTATTACTAAATTTTAATATCTTTTTTTTCTCCTTTCTTTCTTTCTTTTTTTTTTAAGTGTTGTGCTTTGAACCCAGGACCTCATGCATGCTAGGCAAGTACTCCTCCACTAAGTTATACTCCTAGCCCTAAATTTTAATGTATTTTTTCCTCCTTAGGGTCGTCTCTTTTATACATGTGATAGACCCAAAGCGGATCAATGTAAATTTTTCAAGTGGCTTGAGGAAGTAACTCCTGGATGGTTAACACAGGAAGAGTCTCAACCCAGCATGGTTTTAAATGATATTAAGAGTATTGCCTTGTATTTAAGAAGTCAAAAGATACCACTCTATGAGGAATGCCATCTTTTGGTGAGGTATGTTTCATGGTACCAAATAATTGCCTGTAATTACTATCAGAAAATAATATACATTAATAAATATGTAATATATAAATATATATTAATAAATAATATAAATCAGAAGATAGCAACCCTCACAGGATTATCAACAGCTTTAAAAGATATTGAGATGGAAAAGTATCTAACAGAGAATACTTTAGTTTCTATAAGTTTAAAATGAAAGGAGTCTTTAAGGTTATTTTAACCCTCTCTAAATATCAAGCAGTTTCAGAAATATCAGAATAACTGGAAGGAGGCTATTTTTCTAACCATTTTTATGCATAGTTGGGGCTGTTCTTCACAATCTCAGGGGACTCTGTTGAACAAACCATAGGAATAATTTTTAGTAGTGCCAGATAATAATTTTTCACAATCTTGAACTGTATAGCCTGTAAGATGATAGAATGGTACATTTTAGAAGCATGTCTTGTATAGAAGTAGGATTACTTAAAAAGTATAAATGCCATATGCATGGTAACTTAATAATAATTTATTGGGAATTTTTAGATGCTAGGTTTTCTTCTAAGTATTTTGTCTTATTCCATTTAATCATCACAGTAACCTATAAGATCACAGTAACCTATAAGATATGGAGATAGTGGAGACAAGCATTAGTTTTATTTTACTGTGATAGAAATTGATATTCTCTATTTTTTAGATACTTTTTCCTATCTTCATCTTTTTAAAACTGATGATAGGGACTAGGGATTAGTTCGGTGGCAGAGTGCTTGCCTAGAATGCTTGTACAAGGTTCTGGGTTTGATCCCCAGCACTGTAATCAGTCCAATCAATTGATGACAATTCTGTGATATTGCTGTTTTCTTTCTTTATGGAATATATTTATTTTTCATATGCATGTATGAAAGTATGTAAATGCACAGAACTTTGGTCCTTTCCTTTTTATATTGTGTTTTAAAAAAGATTTAAAAATTTTTTAATGTTCAAATTTATTTTTATTTTTATTCGTTTTTTCAGGAAAGGGTTTGATTTTCAGAGAAAACAGTATGGCAAACTAAAAAAGTTTACTGCTGTAAATCCTGAATTTTATAGTGAACAGAAAAGCAAACTTTATCTTAAATTGAGTCGGAAAGAAGGTTCTTCGGTTTATAGCAAAGGTAAGTTGGTCTGATCATGGTGATGATGCATTTACAAATAGCAGAATATCTCTGTAAATTCCCTCCCCTCTCTCCTGGGGATTAAACCCAGAAGCCCTCTACTACTAAGCTATATTTCAAGTGCTTATTTATTTACTTTAAAATTTTTGTTAAAAACTTTTTATTGGTACTTAATGATTATACATAATAACAGGATTCATTGTGATATAATTATACATGCCTAAGGCATGTATAGTTGAAATCTTCAATGGTTCACGTTCTTCTTGCTATTTTCTTACTTTTTGCATTTCATATATTAGGCTTATTTTATTAGGTGCACATATGTTTTAAGTTACTCTTGTCTTCTTGATAAATTGAAATTTTATTATCATATAGAGACCCTCTACAACTTTAATATCTTTTTCTTAAAATGCATTTATTAATATAGACATGCCAGGTATGTTTTTGCTAATATGTACTTGATAAATCTTTTTTGAACACCTTTGTGTGTTCTCATAGGTATGTTCCTTATAAACACTGTAGTGTCAATTATAAAAAATTTGACCTGTAAACAGAACAAGCCCAAATAGTTAGATTTAAATTATAATAATTGATACATTTGTATATGTTTCTACAATCTTAAATTATTCGTTTATCCCACTCTTTCTTTGCTCTTTTAAATCCTTTTTTGCTGTTTTAAAAAGTGATAGTTAATCTTTCCTTCAGTAAAACAACTTCTTAGAAAACATTCACAATCCTTTGTTCGTCTCTAGATCCTCTCCTTCACTTTCTATCTTCCTTTTTCCTCAGGGTGACATTATTTAGACTAGTGATATTTGGAATATCATCTACAGCTGGTTCCAGTCCACAAACTTACTAGTTTTCAACAGAGGGGAAACAGCTACTTCAGTAGTAAATCACTTATGTCATTAGGCAAACTTGTTTAGTTATTTTGTCTTATTTATTGCAAGACTTTCTCAGTGAAGAAAAATTATGTTGATGCTATGGTTTAGATGTGAGGTGTTCCTCAAAAGCTCACATGTGAGACAATGCAAGAAGGTTCAGAGGAAAAATGATTGGCTTGTAAGAGTCTTAACCCAATCAGTGATTTAATCCTTTGATAGGGATTGACTGGTAACTGAAGTGGTAGGGTGTGGCTGGTGAGTAGAGTTTCTCTCTGCTTTCTGATCTCCATATGAGCCACTTTCCTCTGCCATATTCTCCCTTCATGATGTTCAGCCTCAACTTGAGCTCCAGGGAATGGAGCGGGCTTTCTATGGACTAAGACTTCTGAAACCTTGAACCCTCAAATAAACTTTTCCTCCTCTGCAATTTTGCTGATCAGATTCTTTAGTCACAGCAGTGAAAAAGCTGACTAAAACAGTTTTGTTGAATTACATTCTAGCACAAGTTACTTATGGCATACAATTAGGAACCATTCAGGTCAGGCTACTTTGAGTAGTGCTAATGTAACTTTGGAGTTAGTATGGATCTATTTACTATCTATCTTTCTCCGGCTACTTTTTATAAAGTTCTAACTTTTGACTGGGGATATAGCTCAGAGGCAGAGTACTTGCCTACCATTGGCAAATTCCTGAGTTTTAATTCCAGCACTGCAAGAAATAAAATAATGGAATAAAATTCTAGGCTCTGAGTTTTTTTCCCTTAAATACTTGTGACCTACAAAAACTACAATTTCATATGTTTTAACCTAGTAATTATGTACTTGGTTGTCTTCTTGAATCCATTGTTACTGTTGAAAACTCTGAGGGTACTTTGATTCTTTCTTTCTGTTATTTGTTCTTTTGGGGTGGAAACTTTAAAATTTTATCTATGATTTTACCTTTTTTCCTGATAATTGTGTCTAAATGTGGATTTTTCATTTTTTTTTTCTTCTCTTGGCCACACTATAAGACTTTTAACTCTGAAGTCCTTTATCATTTTTGTAATTCTGGAAAATTGATCTTTATTATTTCTTCAAATAATATTCCTTCTTTGTATGTCTTTTATTATTCAGATGTTAGCACCTCTGAATTTATCCTCTAGCTTGCTTAACTTTTATATTTTCTTTTTTTTTAATAAGATGAGCCAGGGTCATCTTGTAGTTACAGATGGTAAAGACACCCACATACACACCAGCACAGTGTTAGGGAGATAATGTCAGAAGATCACAAGAGTGACTGAAAGGGTTCTATTTTTTTTTTTTTTAAGAGAGAGAGAGAGAGAGAGAGAGAGAGAATTTTAATATTTATTTTTTAGTTTTCGGCAGACACAACATCTTTGTTTTTGTATGTGGTGCTGAGGATTGAACCCGGGCCGCACGCATGCCAGGCGAGCGCGCTACCACTTGAGCCACATCCCCAGCCCCAACTTTTATATTTTCTGTGTTTTAGTTTTTCCTTCCTTCTGGGAGAATCCTCAATAAATCCTCAAAAAGGCTTTCTTTTTTTTTTCTTTTCTTTTTTTTTTTATTTAAAGAGAGAATGAGAGTTGTGTGTGGGGGGGAGAGAGAGAGAGAGAGAGAGAGAATTTTAATATTTATTTTTTAGTTTTCGGCGGACACATCTTTGTATGTGGTGCTGAGGATCAAGCTACCACTTGAGCCACATCCCCAGCCCAATAAGGCTTTCTTTTAAAAATTTTTAATGATATACTTTAACCTAAATATATCCAAAGCAATATCATTTCAATGTGTAATTAATATAAACATTATGAGCTATTTTATGCTATTTTATTTTTTCATACTGCTTTTCTTTCTGGAAATTCATATGAGGGAAGACCAATCCCAAACTTGTCAGCTTCAGAGTTCCAGAAATCGGGGGTGCAGTTGAACTATAGTGTGGAGAGCCCTAGCCACCAGAAAACCACAGTCACTCATGAAATAACCCATAAGGTCAAGTGTAAACGGTTTGGTTCAAGGGAAAAGCAACATTAAATAGAATAATATTTTTGTATTACAAAATTCTTTAGCCCTCAGAGTTTGGAGAAATTGAGGTGAGATGGAAACTGCCCTGTGATCAGTTAGTTACCACCAGTTTTTGTCTATTCATTACAGCACAGCACAGTGCTTTTGTTGTTGCCCTGATTTTTCAGAGTATATTAGTCAACTTTCTATCACTGTAGTGAAATACCTGAGAAAATTGACTTATAAAGAGAAATGATTTATTTTGTCTCATTGTTTTGGCAGTTCCAGTCTGTGTTCAAGTGGCTTCATTGTTTTGGGCCTCTAACAAGACAGCATATCAAGGCAGGAGCACACAGAAAAATAAACTACTGACCTCCTGAGCCAGGGGAAAAAAAAAAAAAGAATAGATGAATCCTGTTGTCAAAATCTCTTTTAGGAGCATGCTCCCAATGACCTAACGATTTTCCACTAGGTCCTACCTCTCAAAGGTTCCACTGCTTCCCAGTAGTACCACCCTGGCAACTAAGCCTTTAAACACATAGACCTTTGGGGAATATTCAGTATCCAAACTATAGCACAGAGGATTTCTAGAGCAGAAATGTGAAATAACTTATGGATAGCGAGGTACTATTTGTTCCAGGGCATTGGAGCCTGGGGAGAAGGCCAGTGGGAAGTAAGAACAGAATCTTAGGCTGGAGTTGTAACTCAGTGGTAGAGCACTTGCCTGGCGTGCACAAAGCCCAGGGTTTCATCCAGCACCAACCACACACACACCAAAAAAAGGAGGAGGAGTAAGTGGAAGGGGACAGAATCATCAATGATACACTCTAGGCACTCCAGTTCAAAACAACATTCCAGCTCCAGCGGGTTTCTCTACTTCTCTCTCTATTCCCTGCGGGAAAGGAGCCAGCAATCATACTAGTTCAGACTCATTTTTTCCCCCCATTTTAAAAATTTGTTCTTTTTAGATATACATGATAAATGTATTTTTAACATACATGCATGGAGTATAATTTATTCTAATTAGGATCCCATTTTGTAGTTAGTTCAGCCTCTTGATTAGAAACAGAATTAGGACTCCCCTAAAGTAATTTCTATGATCTGAATGTGTTCCCCTCACAAATTAATATATTGAAACTTAAGTCCCATGAAAATTGTAGAATTTGTTTTTTTTTAAATTTTTTTTATTGGGCATTTTTTACATGTTTTGAATTGTGTTACTAATTAAGTAAGCAAAAAATTTGTAATGTATACACATTAGGAAACTTGTGCAGAAACATTATGATTTTATTTTTTAAATGCATATTATATGTAATGAAGAGGTTGGATTTTTTTAGAAATTGAACATTTGACATGGTTTTCAAAAAAATTACATAAACATATACAATGAAAAAATCAAGTATAAAGAAATATGTGATTAAAAAGTATAAGTCTTTCTGTAATTCTTACCTTTTTCTCTTCCCTTTGAAAATGCATGTGATTAAATAATTTAATTACTATTTAGATATATGAAGTCTTGGGGTTTTCTTTAATCTTTGTAACTATACTATTCTTCACTTTAATTCTCCCTTTCTATTTACAACAGAGACTTTTTTCCTCCGTACTAAGGATTGAACCTAAAGGCTCTTTACCACTGAGCTACATCCTCAGCTTTTTTTATTTTTTCCAGCCCTTTTTATTTTTTATTTTGAGACAGGGTCTTAATAAGTTGCCGGGGCCATCTTTGATTATCTTGTCTCAGCTTCCTGAGTTGCTGGGATTACTGGTGTACACCACTATGCTTGGCTGTAGCAGGGAAAACTTAAGATGAATTTATCTGGTAGATTTTTTTTTGTGTGTGTGTGTGTGTGTATGGTGCTGGAGATAGAACCCTGGGCCCTGTGCATGCAAGCCAAGCACTCTGCTAATTGAGCTATATGCCTAACCCCTCATCTGGTAGAAATTTTTCAGTAATTTTCTTTTTTTTTTAAGTATTTATTTTTTAGGTGTAGATGGACACAACACAATGCCTTTATTTTTATGTGGTGCTGAGGATCTAACTAGGGTCCCGCCCATGCTAGACGAGCACTCTACTGCTGAAGCCAGCCCTTCAATAATTTTCAAACTAGTTTTAGAAGTAAAATTTTAGTTATTGTTTAAAGTACACCATTCAAGATTTCCACACCTTTCTCCTTCTTTATTCCCTTTCTCTTCCCCTGAGCCTAGCCAGACTCCCTTGCTGATTGCTAGATAGTTGCAAAAGATGAAGAAGTTCAGATGTCCTGAAAGAGGGCTTGTCAGTGGAAATGGGATGGTATATTGATTGCTAATTTGTGGTTATTTTGGGGCTCCCTGGAACTGCTAATAACCTTACTTACTGATCTGATCTTTAGCACTGTTCCACTGCTAGAGGTTTTGTTAGCCTGAATTAAGTCTAGGACTACCTTTTTTTTTTTTTTTTGTAGCATATAAGGTAGTTTCTATGATCTAAATATGCCCCCCCACACAAAAATTGTTGAACATTCCTAATCTGAAAAACTAAAATCCAAAGTTCTCCAAAGACCTCAATTTTTTGAGTGCTGATGTGACAGAAGTGGAAAATTCCATACTATAAAATTTTGTTACATACAAAAGATTATTAAAAAATTATAAAATTGCTTTCTGTCTGTATGTACAGATATATATGAAACATAAATGAATTTTATGTATAGACTTAGGACCCATCCCTAAGATATCTCATAAGTTATATGCAAATAGTCCCCAGTCTGAAAAAAAAATCCAAAATCTGAAACAGTTCTGGTCTCAAGTATTTTAGATAAGGAATATTCAACCCGTATTAAGAGGTAGGACCTAGGGCTGTGGGTGTAGCTCAGTGGCAGAGCACTTGCCCAGCATGTGCCATAACCTAGGTTCATACCCTACACCAAGGAAAATTAAAAAAAGAGGTAGGACCTTTAGAAAGTGATTAAGTCATGAATGCTTTATATTCTTAATGGGATTAGTGGCCTTGTAAAACAAGTTGAAAGAAATATCCCAGGGGTTGGGATTGTGGCTCAGTGGTGGCAAGAGTGCTTGCGTAGTATGCAGGGACACTGGGTTCGATCCTCAGCACCACATAATTGTAAAATAAAGATGTTATGTCCACTTAAAACTAAAAAAATAAAAAAGAAATATCCTAGTCCCTTTGGTCCCTTCTGCCATCTGAGTACATGGCCTTCTGCTCCTTCTACCATGTGAGGATACTGCAACAAGCACCATCTATGAAGCAAAGAACAATCAATCTAAGGTATTTGTCCAATGGGCAAGGATTTTTTGGGTAAGAACTCAAAAGCATGGACATCCAAAAAAAATAGACAAATGTATTATGTTGAACTAGAATCTTCTATATAGCAAAGGAAACAATCAAAAGAATGAAGAGACACCCTATAGTATGGGAGAAAATATTTGCAAACCATATATCTGATGAGGAATTAACATCCAAAATATATAAGGAACTTGAACAACTCAGTAAGAAAACAAATATATATGTCTATACCATGGAATATACATCAGTCTTGAAAAAGAAGGAAATTCTAATATTTGTGATAGCATATATGAACTTGGAGGGCTTTATGCTAGGTGAAATAAGCAGACACAAATTTGGCAATGTTATATATGAATCTTAAACAATTGAATTTAGCCGGTTGTAGTGGCACATGTCTGTAATCCCAGCAACTCAAGAGGCTGAGGCAGGAGGATCACAAGTTCAAACCTAGCCTCAGCAACTTAGCAAGGCCTTAAGCAACTCAGTAGACCCTGTATCTAATGAAATATTAAAAAGGGCTGGGGATGTGGCTTGGTGGTTAAGCACCCTGGGTTCAATCCCTGGTATAAAAACAAAAACAAAATATATCCCCACCAAAAAAAAAAAAAATTGAATTTAGAGAAACAGCTGAATGGTGGTTTCATTCACCATTCAGCTGAAGGATATTGAAAATGGAGAGATGGTAGTCAAAGAGTGCTAACTTACTTATAAGCAAGTTCTAGAGATCTTATATACAGCATGATAACTATAGTTAATAATAGCATATAGTGTATTTAAAATTTGCAAAGGGAATAGATCTTGAGAGTTCTCACTATACACACACAAAAACAGTAACTCTGTCAGTGATGGACATGTTGATTAGTTAGATTGTGGAAATCATTTCACAGGGTATACTTATGTGGAAATATCATGTTGTGCCTGGGGTCATAGCTTGGTGACATAGCATGTGCTTGGCATTTGTGAGGCCCAGGGTTCTTTCCCCAGCAGCCTGATCACCTCAAGAATACATGTCATACAACCTAATTAATTATGTACAATTTTGTGTCACTCAGACCTCAATAAAGCTGGGGGTAAAATGTTTGTTTTTTTAGATGATCTTTGGGTGATTTCAAAAACCCTAGACTTTGAACTGGATACTTTTATTGCATGCAGTGCTTTCTTTGGACCATCATCTCTCAATGAGGTGGAGCTACTGCCCTTGAAAGGTTATTTCCCTTCTAATTGGCCTACTAACAGTAAGTATTACCATGTGTATCTTAATTTATATTTTGAAAGGTTGATAGATATATGATGAACTTTGAGCACTAATGCTAACTAACTGTGTGTGGGATTGTTTGTTTAAAGCCAACAAACTGATGGTGTTTAAAGCTATAGTGGTTTCTCCTATTATATGCAATGAGTTCCTGAAAATGTGTATGAAAATTTAATACATCATTATTTCTGCAGTTCAAGTCCCATAGGGCAAGCAATATAATGAAATCTTGAATCTTCACTTAAGCATTAGGTTAAAGTTGAATTTTACAAGTTTATATTTGACTTTTTAAAAGTACAAACAATAGGCGTACAAATGAGAATTTTTTCAAAGAACTTCTTGCATCAAGTTCTAATCCTTATGGTTTATTTGAAAATATATTTAGTAAACAATTTATTTTCACCTTGGGAAGGTCCTGAAGATTTTTGGTTGAATTGAGCCAGAAGAGTATGATTTTTGCTTTGAGAATATCTTATCTGTTTTTAAAAATTATTAATAAGGCAGGCTACCCACCAAATTTTTTTTGTAATAAAGAAACTTTTAGTAAGTTGAATTCATATTTAGTTCTATGAATCTGTAAACTTATCTGTACATTTTGATCTCTTAATGATTTCTAATAGTTGAATTTGGTTCATAACTGATCCAGACAAAGCATTTAATGACATATTCATATTATTTCATAGATGCTTTTAATTTTGATTTTTCCTTTTTTAACTGAACAAACCTAGTCCAACCAGCATAAATCTAATAAAAAGCTAATAAACGTTTATCCTTCTCATATGGAGATTTTCATATTTGTTGCAGATATTTACTTACCAGTATCAGCATGCTAATTTCCTGTTTTCCATATATTTTAATAAAATAATTAAGAAAGACATGCAAGAGAATATTTTAAAATTACATAAGTACTTCCGTACAGCTCAACTGGTATGCTGATTAAAGAGAACTGCTGGCCATCAAGCAGTGCCTCAGTGCACTAACTCAAAACAGGTGTTCTTATTCATTTACTGATATGCACAACTCTAAATTTGATTTAAGTTATGCAATTTATGTATACTCATAGAAAGAGAATGAGTAGATAGCATAGTAATTCAATGGATAGAAGTTCACAGACCTTTCTGCATGTACTTAAAGGTTTATTTTATGTCATGATTAATTTAGTAGTTGAACTCTGAGGTATAAAGACATTTAATCCAGTTTTTTATGTGTCATTTTATTTTCATCAAGTGTTCATTTTCTCATCTTTTTTATAGCAGTGGTCCATGCATTATTAGTTTGTAATGCCAGCACAGAGCTGACGACTTTGAAAAATATTCAGGACTACTTTAATCCAGCTGCTTTACCTCTAATGCCATATTTGTTAACAATGTAAGTCATCATTTATCTTTGGGTTGTTGGTATTAAAAAATGATAACTGAAAGTGAATATAAAAATATAATAAAAGTACATTATTTAAATTTTACAAATCAAAGTTTAATTATTTTTTAGAATATGAAATTACTGTCATTAATTAGAAGAGAAAGGGGGTAGGGGACACAGTTCAATGATAGAGTACTTTCTTAGCATGCACAAGTCCCTGAGTTCTATCTCCAATACATCCCCCCACACAAATAAACAAAATTTGAAAAATAAAAAGAGAAAGGATAATATGCAAAATTTACCTTTTATTTATTTATTTATGTATTGTGGTTTGGGCTAATAAATGAGTACTGTGAATTTTTTCTCTGTATCAAAGGATAGTATTCTAAAGATCTTTGGAGTGATGATTTAATAATTCATCTATAGTTTGATACTGTATATTATTTGGCATTTATAAGAATTATTTTACAGCTTGAATACAGTGCATATGTCAATACTGATTTTATTCTTTTTTTTTGGTACCAAGAATTAAACTCAGGGGTGGTTAAGCACTAAGCTACATCCTCAGCCCTTTTAATTTTTTTTATTTGAGAAGGTATCTCACTGAGTTGCTTAGGGCCTTGCTATTTGTTAAGATTGGCTTTGAACTTGTGATGTTCCTGCCTCAGCCTCCCCAGCCTTTGAGATTATAGGCATGCCCCACCAATTTGACTTGATTTTATTCTTTGTTTTTTAATTTTAATTTTTTTTAATTGTTAATAGATTATTTATTTATTTATATGCAGTGCTGAGGATCAACCCCAGGCCCTCAAGTATATCTTGCAAGCACTCCAGCCCTGATTTTATTCTTAACATTACCTGTTAATTTTTCAAACACCAAGATTCTTTTTAAAAAATGGAAAGTTATAGTGTCCTAAATGCATTCAAATAATAGAAAAAGCCCATTTTTCCAATTTGGGTTGTTATTACTCATTTGGAGTGTTTTGCTTTTCTCATGCCAATGAAATTCTAGGTAATACATATCCTTATGGATTACTATATGTAGTGTGATAATCTGATTTGGATCTTAGAGTAGAACATGATACTAAAGTTAGGAAACATAAAATGTGAAAGAAGACTGTAGTTTAATAGTAATGAACAAATGTTGGTCTTTTGGTATTGACAAATAAATCTTGGCACTGTGAAAAGTTAACATAAGGTGAAGAAGTAGGTGAGGAATATTTAGGAATACTCTGTTATCTTTGGAACTCCAGCAAATAAAAATTCCAAAATAAAAAAATCATATTAAAAATTGCAAGTTTAATTAAGTTTAATTAAATATTATATTTCGTAATATCCTAGTCAAAACAAAAGAGATTTATAGTTAATTTAAAAATATCCTTATGGTTCCATTATTTTTTTGTGCAGTTGAAATGAATTGAATCTTTACAGAAATAGAAATAAAAGCATTTATATATTTTCAGTTTTACTTGAAATAAACACTGTTAATTATCTGATTCTTAACAGTGCTGAGTTTTGGGGAAACATTTTTAATATCTGTATTTGAAATAATTAACTTCCTCATGTTGTTGAAGAGTATATAAAGTAATGTGTAAAATATGTAGACTCACACCACAGATAGGAAATATTGAACAAAGTTTAGTCTTCTTGCACACTCCTCTAAGTTGAGGCTGGTATCCATATGTCCTCCCCACCTTACCCAAAAAATGTTTTCTGTGGTGTTTATGAAATGAAGGCCAGTTGTGAATAAGTCTGTGATTTGTTGCCTTTTTACTAGGTCTCCGTCAACTACAGTTAGCAACAAGAGAGAAAATAAGAGAAAATTTATCCCACCAGCCTTTGCAAAAATCAATACAAAATTTGAACTACTTAGCCTGGGAGAAACATTGCAGTTAGCTAGTGAGTTAATTCAGACACACAAGTTAAACAAGGACCAAGCTACAGCTCTAATTCAGATAGCTCAAATGATGGCATCCCATGAAAGTGTTGAAGAAGGGAAGGAACTGCACACCCATACCCTCCCTATCACAGTCATACATGGTAAGAAGCAAGAAAACAGTCCTAGTAAATGTATTTTAATGTAAACTTATATAAGGTAATCTTTTCGTAATATCCTAGTCAAAACAAGTTTCCAGAATAACTGTGAGTAAAAACTTTTAAACTTGAACCCAGAACCCACTTGAGTAAACTGTTAAATTAGAGCACATCTGACTACCTTGAAACGAAAAATTGGCAGCATATCTGATGAATGGTCAGCATTATTTAGTCATTGCTAAAGTGTCCAGATTGGTCTAGATATCTGTGTATTCCTCTGTTAGACTAGACTTCAACCCTGATCAGCAAAGCTTATATTCCTACTCTGTTTACTCTTTCATCTTCCACAGCAGCTATTCCAGAACTTCGTCATTCTCATAACCCCATCCTTGCCCCTCCTCCATCCCTCTGAAATTGATCTTGCCTCTAAAATAGGAATTAAATTTGTAACAGAAACTTCTTTTAATGTCCTGAGCTCCTTCAATTTATGTCAGTTTAGACTCATTTTTACCCTTTTTTTGGCTCTGTCCAGGTGAAGGGAGCTTTATTTTCTTCTATTCAGAACTTATACCTTTCTCTGTATTTTGGCTTCTGTGTAGTTCATTTCTCCATAGGTTAGTTCTCTACTTAATCTTCTACTTTCTTACTGTTTATCTTTCCACATCAGAACAATCACTGAGGTGGGTCCCATCTGACTGCTATCCATCCTTCATAATGATTTTCTCCTTCCAGTTTACTTGAATCCACACATTCCAGTCCATCATCAGATTTCCACATGGCCTACTCGGTGGAGGGTAGTCTCTAGAGCTAGAATTCTGCCTTTGGCTCTTTCGTTTATTAGCTATATGATCTTGGACACATCACTTATCTCTTTTTTTTTTTTTTTAAAGAGAGAGAGAGAGAGAAGTTTTAATATTTATTTTTTAGTTTTCTGCGGACACAACATCTTTGTTTGTATGTGGTGCTGAGGATCGAACCCAGGCCGCACGCATGCCAGGCGAGCGCGCTACCGCTTGAGCCATCACTTATCTCTTAGCTTTAATTTCCTGCTCTGTAAAATGGAAATGATAACGGCATCTACCTCAGAGGGGTGGGGGATTAAATAACTCAATGTAAGTGAATGCTTAGAACAGTATCTGGCACAATGGAATACACTTAGTAAATTTAGTATTATGTTGGGATTATCTCACACAATTTCCTAATTGATCCACCTTTAGGTTTCCTTTCTCTGTATTTGTTTATTTATTTATTTATTTATTTTTCTAATACTACCGCTGAGCTACATACACAGCCCTTTTTGTTTTTATATTGAGACAGGGTCTGAATAAGTTGCCAGGGTTGACCTTTAACTTGCAATAAATATTCCTGCCTCAGACTCCATTAATTCCAGAGTAGCTGGGATTAAAGGCATGCACCATGATGCCTGGCTCCAAGTAGTTTTTCAAAAACTATCTGAGGGCTGGGGATGTAGCTCAGTGTAGGACACTTGCTAAACATACACACACACACACACACACACACACACACACACAGAGACACAGACAATTTGATAAGTCAGTTATTTGCTTAAAATCCTTCAATGACTTCCACTAACCTTTAAGATAAGATTCAGATTTTTCAGTCATAACAGACATATGTTTTATCCTCTTGTGATTTGTCCCTTGCCTCATCTCTTGCCTGTTTGCTATTTATGGAAATTCTAAAAGTTCTTTTACAAAATTTTTAATAGCTACGAACTTTGTTCTAACATCCCCCTCTCCACCAAAGGAGATGTTCTTCTTTCTCTGATCCCATAACAGTGTTACCATATTCTTTTGTATTATCTCTTTATCTGCTTATCCTATTAGGTTGACTGTGGTCTCATTAAAGGTAGAAGTATTTTGTTAATTATTTAGTCATTCCATAGTGGGCAGTCAATTTTTTCAAATAATTAAATAAAGGAGAATGTGACAGATTAATTATTTCTTGTATTTTCAGAAATGTGTTTATCATATCACTTTAATTTTTTCTCTTTCTTTAAAATAATTAGGTGTTTTTGGAGCAGGGAAGAGTTATTTGCTGGCGGTGGTGATTTTGTTCTTTGTACAACTATTTGAAAAGACTGAAGCTCTTACAGTTGCAAATGCAAGGCCATGGAAACTTCTGATTTCTTCTTCCACTAATGTAGCTGTTGACAGAGTACTTCTTGGGTAGGTATGACAAGTGTATTTGAGTAGCTGATGTTTTAGGTTATTGTTGAGAGAGGCAATCCACCAGAGGTCCTGAGTTTCCATGTTGGGTATGCCAAGTACTCAAGGCCATTGTCTTATACCTAGAAGCTAGCATCTGTGCTAAGTAACAAGCTAAACTATTAATTAATAAGTAGGATTGGGCTGGGGATGTGGCTCGAGCGGTAACGAGCTCGCCTGGCATGTGTGGGGCGCTGGGTTCGATCCTCAGCACCACATAAAAATAAAATAAAGATCTTGTGTCCACCGAAAACTGAAAAATAAATATAAAAAAAAATAAGTAGGATAAAATCAAATACCAAACCTGATAATTTTGGCATCAAGATGAGATGGGCCTGGAGGTGTAGCTCAGTGACACAGCACTTGCCTACCAGGTGTGAGGCACTGGGTTCCATTCTTGGCACCACATAAAAATAAATAAATAAATAAGGTATTGTGTCCATCTATAACTTAAAAAAATAAAAAAGATGGGATATTCATATAAAAATTCAGTTTCAATTAAGAACACGCAGGGCTACATTGTATTGCTGGGGAGGTAATCCACCATGGGCATTTCTCAGGGTAGTCTTTATAGCAAGCAGCTTTAACTGATGAGTTAATATCATTCTTCAGGACTAAGAACTTGCCTACTACTTGTTTTTAAAAATAGTGGATCTCCCATCTCAGTGTTCTTGTCTTCTAACTCAATCCACTGCATGTGCAGTTATCCATGGGGATACTCTTCATCTTCCTATGAAACTTGGGGACAAAGGGATTCAAATACTATGATATCCACATTGCTTTCTGTGCCATGGGTAAAAGTCCTTTCTGACCCATGAATCTTGGGTCTGTTACCTTAGAAGTAGACTAAAATCTCAGAACCAACAGTCTGGGATTCAATAATATCTTATTCATCTGCCTTAAAATATACACTATTAACAAAGCTGAACAGTTTAAGTAGATTATGTTTTTAATTTCAGTGAGAGGGATCCAAAGAATACAATAGCAGTCTATTCTGCAGATATCAAATTTTTGTGATTGCATAAGATTTTAAAAATGCAAAGAAAATTACACAGAATATTCTACATTTTTAATTTTTCACCAAAAAACTTTGTCATTTTATGAGTTTTAATAGGAGAAATAATCCATTATTTACAAGTCTAGTCTTCTTAAAAATTAACTTTGTTTTCTCTCTGTTTTTATGGTACTATGGATTGAACACAGAGCCTCAAGCATGCTGCTAGACAAGCGTTATTCCACTGATCTACATCCTGAGCCCTAAAAATTTAACTTTTATAATCACATAAATTAATGCTATGGTTAAAATATGCAGATTTTGTAGTTTATATTTTGTTACATTTCTTCAAAATTTTTTTTATACATGTATACTTTCTAAATGTGGGATCTAACAATATGCAGTGTTCTGTGTCTTACTTTTTTTATTTAAAAGTTATTTCTCTGTGGCATTACATCTTAGAAAACATAATTTTTAATAATTCTATTACATTCAGTGATTTTCTTGTACCATTTAAACAATTTTGATCAGTAAGTTCTTTCCAAATTTTTACCATTATAAATTATATTGTGGCAATGATCCTTCAATATAAATCTTTATCATATTCTGATTCTTTCCTTAGGAAACAAGCCTAAGCCAAGAATAAAAGATGGGAACATATTTAAATTTTTAAATAAATTTTGCAAAATTGCCCTTCAGAAAAGTTCTACCATTGTGTAGATTTATGAGAAATTTAAGAGTAGCTGAGTATGACATTGTTTGGTCTAAGATACTGAGAAGTTATCTGGGGACTAAACAGGAAAGAACATTACATTGCTAAACCTACAATGAAAATATCAGAGTAGACTGTTAGAAAACCAAAAAAAAAAAAAAAATCAAGAAGTTAGAATGAAGGGTAAGTACTAAATACTAAAAGGAAACACTTAAAAGAGATTCTTTAATGTCTGAGTCTTTAAAAAGGATCTGAGAAATGTAAGTCTGTAATTAGAATTGTTGCCTCAACCACAGATAGGCTGAACCTATGTATCTCTTCACAGTAAGATAACATTTTTGTTGTGCATTTGAACAGACAATATATTTTGTTATTGTAATGGACAGGATAGGACAAAGTTTCTTGAGAAGAAATGAAGAAGTATGGGTAAATACACGTATGTTTTACCCTGTGGTAGCAGTACATTGAGGATACTGTGCCCTTTATTGTTACAGATTTAACATAAACATGTTAAAAACAATGTAAACTAGTATTTCAGACTGAAAATAGCTGACTTCTTTATAATGAGGACTATGAAAAATTTAAAAAATGATATCTATTTATGTATTGACACTAAATAAATTTCTTCATGATTATTTTTTATCACCTGATTTAGTGAAATGTATAAACCAGAGAAATGTTAATGTAACAGGTTATTTCTAATAAATAAGTAAGAGGGACCGGTAGATGAAGGTACCTTCTGCACAAAGCCCTAGTCATGTATAATGTATATAGGGTAAGATCATAGCCTGTGGACATATACAGGCCAGCCTGGTTTGAATCATGGCTGAATTCACTTTTAAATGATGTGGCCTCAGTAAAGTTATTTTAACTTTGAGCTTCATTGTCCTCATCTCTCTTTTTTTTTTTTTTTGATAGCAGGGATTGAACCCAGGGGCACTTAACCACTGAACCACGTCCCCAGCCTTTTTTTAATATTTTATTTAGAAATGGGGTCTTGCTGAGTTGCTGAGCCTGGCTCTGAACTCTCAGTCCTCCTGCCTCAGTCTCCCTAGCCACTAGGATTACAGCATCGCTGTGCCCAGCCATTGTCCTAATCTTTAACATGAGATAATGTGTAGAGCAGTAGTGAGTATTAATTGAGATAACATATGTAACAAGGCTCTTCTTATTAAATCTTGATGCTAAATATATGATATCTGTTGCTTTCCATATTACTATATTCAGGGGTAATTTTATTTGTGACAAATACTGACGTTGGTATTTTACAAATATTAAATGAGCCCTCAGCAGAAAATAATAAATATTTTAAAAATTTCTATAAAATGGCACTGGGGATGTAGCTCAGGGGTAAAAACACTTGCCCAGCACGCACAAATCCCTGGGTTTTATCACAATCACTGCAAAAGGGAAAAAAAAAATATTAACAGAAATCTCTATAAAATGTGTTTTATAAAAGAATTATTTTAACTGTGTAGCATTTACTTGGTTTGACTTTAGTAATTTTACATTAAATTATATAATCCTAAAATATACTGTTATACAAATTAGTTTTAATATAAGTATTATATGAAACCTTGTTTTATATTTCATCTTGTAAATAATATCTATTTTATTTTGTTTCTTTAAAGCCTTCTCAACCTTGGATTTGAAAAGTTTATCAGAGTTGGGAGTGTAAGAAAGATTGCCAAACCAATTTTACCTTATAGGTAAGATGTTAAATTCTGAAAGCCACAGGATATTCAGAGAATTATGATAATTTTAAATAATTCTTACCTTAAATTTGATTTTTAAATAAGAGTGGAAAGCCTTATCTTTTCATTGGTTAGCTTAGAAAGTATAATTAGAAAATCTAACTTAGAATATCAAATCTATATTTTGCTGTTTTGTGATATATGAAAAATGAAATAAAGAGAAGTACTCTTCTTTACTGGGCACTGTGCACACCTGTAATCCCAGTAGCTCAGGAGGCTGAGGCAGAAGGATTACAAGTTCAAAGCCAACCTCAGCAATTTAGCAAGACCTGTCTCAAAATAAAATATATAAAAAAGGGCTGGGGATGTGGCTTAGTGGTTAAGTGCCTCTGGGTTCAATTCCTGGTAGGAAAAAAAAGAGAGAGAGAGAAGTACGTTTTTATGTAATTCTTTTTTTAGCTTGCATGCTGGTTCAGAAAATGAAAATGAACAGTTAAAAGAACTACATGCACTAATGAAAGAAGATCTAACCCCTGTGGAAAGAGTCTATGTAAGAAAAAGTATTGAGCAGCATAAACTGGGGACCAACAAAACCCTGCTGAAGCAGGTAAGGGGAAATAGCTTTAGTTTACTTCTTAATTTATAGACACTACTCAGATTCTCCTAATTTCTGTTAATGGAAGAATATTTTCTTCAGTGAAACACACTGACATGGTAGCTTAGATTCAATTAGGTTTGTATATCTGTAACCTTGGATGCAGTTAACCCAGTGCATATTTTATGTTTGCTACAAAGCAGTCTTCAAATTTGTGCACAGACTCTATTTACTAGGCCTGAGTCATTCTTTCTTCTTCTTCCTATTTGCATATCTTTTTATAAACTTGAACAGGAAAGAGAAGAGTTTTGGAATAGATTCCTGGCATGTTCAATGAAATTGGTTATTCTAGGAGAAGTAAAGAAAAGTTCTGACTATGGGCAAACTATCAAAGTGAAAATTTGTCTTTGATGCTCTCCTAGAAAGCCAAGGCTTTCCAGGGCCTGACTATATCCAAGAATCCAGGAGGCACAGACACTTGCTTCCAGGCACTGGGAGCCAAAATTGGCTACATAGGATTCCAAGCTTTAACAAGGAGCATCATCCTCTTAATCAAGTTCTCATCAGTGTAGCTTGGGCATTAGCTGTTACTCCCCCCAGTAGTAATAGCTTTCTCCTGTGAAAGGAGAACATAGGGAAAAGAAAGGAAACTGGAGAAAAAGAAAACTGTTGGTTTCCTGGACCACACAAACATTGGTCACTTTCTGCAAGACATCCTGCTTTTGAGAACCTGTATTAGATAATTGTTGCTAAAATACTACTTAGTAAATAAAATATAAATATCAATACTTTTTTTGTGTATGTGTGTGGTACTAGGGATTGAGTATCAGTGCAGTTACCCTCTACCCCCCGAGCCACATCCCCATACCTTTTTTTTTTTTTTTTTTAATTTCAAGACAGGGTCTCGTTAATTTTCCCACACAGGCCTTGAACTTGATGATCCTCCTTTGTCAGCATCCTGAGTTGCTGGGGTTATGGGACTATGCCAATATGCCCGGCAAAATTAAGACAATAGCTTTTGACCCTACAGGTCAACTGGTGTTATCTCAGCTTTGGTCTCTCATTAGAAAACTGCCCATGGCATGCTTTATTTAGAGGTGGAAGCAGCCCTCAGCCCCAAGGCCTGTTTTTTTGTGCAACCAAAGAAAGCACATTGTCAACAGGTTATATAAGTGAGCTCATGCTTACAAGCAGATGCTTATGAACTTGACTGCATATGCTGAATCAGGGTGCTCATGACCTTGGCTTTACACTAAAAACATAACCTGCTGGAAGACTCCACAAGGGACCCTAACTATAGCCTTCTTGAGTTTGCCCTACAGCATGTTAGATGTTCTCTTGACAGATGGCAGTAGTAAACAGAGGATAGATTAGATCACATTTAAAGCTTCTATTCACATCATATCTGCCAATATTTTATTTCTTATAACAGGTCATATAACCAAGTTCAACCTCAATGAGGTAGGCAAATACATTCTGCCTACCTCTCTAGTGGGAAATACTGCAAAGCCACACAGCAAAGGGTATGGATATGTAAGACGAATCTCATGGGGAGGGAGGGAAATATTGGGAGTAATAACCAGTACACAAGTTTGGGGTCTAAAAATTCTCAGAGGACTTGAGACTAACTTTTTGTGATCTGAATTTTAGGGTTGACTCTGGACTGCTTTCTCTTTAATTCCAGAGGGGCTTAGTTTGTCTATGTTTAGTGAATACAAATTAACCATTTATGTAATCTTCTTACCATTTTATTCCCCCAATATAATAATGATATATAAGAATAACTGCTAATGGTTTCTTTGGTAAAAGTCCAGTTATAATAATATATTGCTCATTTCTATTACCTGTGTACAATGAAAACTATTTTAGAGGAAGTATTTTAAAAATGCTTTGCTAAAATTTCTCAGTCTAATAAAGCAATCAGGCCTGACACATTTCTAAAGTGATATGTCTTTACAATAAAACTAATTTATAAAAATACTTCTTAATTAATTACTACCCCTGGTCAATAACAAAATCTCTTCTATTGTTTGAGTCTCAGTAGTATAATAATAAATTAAAAGATAAAAGTAATACAATTCTTTAAAGAAAAATCATAATTAGGCTTTTTGTATTTATACATGTAATATATATTTGTATATATATTTCATGTATATATTTGTGTGTGTATAAATATATGTTTGTGTGTATGTGTGTGTGTATGTGTGTGTGTATGTGTGTGTGTGTGTGTGTGTGTGTATATATATATATATTTCCCCCCTTGCCTCCCCCAATGCTAAGGGTTTAACCAGGGCCTTGCTCTGCAATGGATCTACCACTAAGTACATTCCCATCATAGATGTTTCCTAAAATTAAAGCATTAAAAAAGATGCTTCTTGATTTATAAACTTAAGATCCTTATTTTAAAGTTGTTTTTGTTAGGTGTAGTTACAAGAGTTAGACAACAAATGATATTTCAAAGTGGTGTCAAAAGCAATATATGAGGCTTCAAGGATTGAACATTCTAAAAGAACTGAATAAATACTGTGGAATTTCTAATATAAGTATGACTTTAGGATGTCTGTTTTGGGGATTTTTTGTTGTAGTTGTTGGTTTTTGCAGTCCTGGGGCCTTGTGCATGTTATGTAGGTGCTCTACCACTGGTCTACATCCCCAGCCCTTTGTTTCTGTTTTTGACAAAAGAAGGTAAACCTGTTACAGAGCTATTTTGTGTAATGTCATTTATTATTAAGAAAATTAAGTGTTTATATTATTTTCTTGTTTCATAGGCTTTGTGGAAGCAATATGTAATTTGTAAATCATGTTTTTGTAAATCACATTTGTTGAAAGAAGAGATGGTCAGTTTATATGGATTGCCCTTGCTATGAGGAAGTGTAATTATACTTGAGATTATTAGAAGGGAATATGCATAGGGTGTATATATACATATTTTTATACTTGTATACACAAATTTATGTACTCATGTGTGTGCATGTGTACAGCTAATAAGCTACAAGACCAATGGCCACATCATTTAAACAATTCAACAATTTTTCTATTGTTTATGTTTAACTATAGAGATTAAATATTAGATTTTTAGGCTTTTTGCTTGAGAATAATGGCATTCTGCTTAATATTTAAGATTTGCAAGATTCAAATATACTAAAGGTTACAAGTACCTAGTGTGCTTCAAGGTTAAGCAGAGGATATTTTACTAGCATATTCATTGTTCTTTGTGAAGAACTTTGGCCTCTGTTGTCATAATGCATGTTGTATTGTTTAAACTCATCTAGAAGTAAAATACATCATCTTTGATGTTTTTTAAATCATTGATTTTTTTATAATACCTTCCTTCTGGATATCAAACTGGACCATTTATTTGTCCATATTAATGGGCTTTTAGTTAAGTAGCCTATATTCTATGATTTCCATTTTGTATTGGGAATAATAAAAAATGTAGAAATAAAATGATTTTTGATTTTAGCCTACAAGTTCTTTGGTAAATATATTCTCTTATTTTCTTTTAATAGTTGTCAACTAATAGCATTTTGATTTTAAATAAAGGTTCGAGTAGTTGGAGTTACCTGTGCAGCCTGCCCATTCCCATGCATGAATGACCTTCAGTTCCCTGTGGTTGTGCTGGATGAGTGTAGTCAAATAACAGAACCAGCCTCTCTCCTTCCCATTGCAAGGTAACGTTTAAAAATTCCAAAAGCACTCACATGTCAAAATTATTTCAAACATTTTCTGAGGGCTGGGGATGTGGCTCAAGTGGTAGTGCGCTCGCCTGACATGCGCACGGCACTGGGTTTGATCCTCAGCACCACATACAAATAAAGATGTTGTGTCTGCCGAAAACTAAAAAATAAACATTAAAAAAATTCTCTCTCTCTCAAAAAAAAAAAAAAATTCTGAGTTCAAACTCCTACCAAAATTTTGTCAAAATTCCTAGCAATTCAAGTACATAGACATATTTTAAAAAAATAGTACAGAGGCAAACTTTTTTAAAGTAAATTAAATGCATTAAAATTGTGATAGTGTATAGTTTAAAAATCTGAATCACATAACCCTTACAACCTTGAGAGCCTTAGTGCTAGGATTCTCCTAGGATGTTACAGATTTCTCTACCAGATTAAAAGTTCCTCTTTAGTCATAGTTTGAAACCAATTCCAATGAAGAATATCTTTTAGTTTCCTTACTCAGATATAATTAAATGTTTAGATTTTGAAAATATTTTTTTGGTTATGAAAGAGTATAAAAGTTTATAAAGAAGAACAAGTTGAAAATGAAAATTTGTCTCCTAAAATTTAGAAGACTGAAATTTTCTAAGCTGTCCTAGCCAAGAAAAACATTGTGCTTTTAAAGCATCTTTAGCGGAAGGGGATATAGTCTAAACCACAAAAAAATTAAAAAAATAAAACAAAGCATTTCTTCTTGAGGAGTCCTACAGAGAGTAGAAAAAGTACCAGATTAGGACTCAGTAGGCCTTGCTCAGTCCCCAGTTAATAAGAGAGTAGGGTACCAGCTGTCAGAGTTTGCTTGGGAATTGGGATGTTCCTGAATCATGGGGGTTTTGGTTTTCAAACTATGATAGTCCAGGGCAAACCAGAATGAGTTGGTCACTCTACCCAGGAGGCAGGGATAGAAGAATCATGAGGCCCTGGGTGAGAACAGTGGGGTAATATAGCACCTACTGTATACTGAATACATTATTACTTTATTAAATCTTTATAACAGCCATGCAAGATGTTATTACTGGTAAGGTTAGTGGTAAGAATACTGAAGCATAAAGAGAATAAATAAATCACTATGTCCATAGAATATTATACAGTTAAAATTTGAATAATAGCTTTCTTTATAAAGCTTGGACTCTCCCACTGTATCTTACTCCTATTTAGAAAGACTGCTTCTGAGAGCCTAATTTACCTCACCTCTAAAACAAGCAAAATCAATTATAAGAAAGCTTCTAATTCTAAGAGTTTATGGATTCTAAAATCAGTGTTTTCTATATGTATTCTCTGAAATACTAATTCCATGCAGAGAGAAGGGATATTCCATAGGGTTTATTTGGAAAAAATTAAGTTATGCAAAAGATTCTTTAATGGATAACATTTCAAAGCCTTTAATCTACTTTTTAGCACTATTAGCCTTATCAGGTCTCAATACACATCTTAGGATTTTTATTTTTAAAATACGTTTTGGAAAATCCAATAAATGTTGCCAATATACTCTTTTTCTCATTGCTTAGATTAATTTTTGAAATTCTGTTTTTAAGGTTTAAATGTGAAAAGCTGATTCTTGTTGGAGACCCCAAACAGCTGCCTCCTACTATTCAAGGTTCTGATGCAGTTCATGAAAATGGATTGGAACAAACTCTTTTTGATCGACTTTGTATAATGGTACATGTTGCTAAGTACTTTCAGCATTATCACACATGATTATACATAGTACAACAGAATGGAAATATTAGAAAACCTGGTTCTTTTTCTTAATTAGTTTATAATTGGAGTAGCTTAAAAGTACTTATCGTGACACATGACTAAACCAATTAGGGTTACTTCATGTGAACTGGGCTGGCATGAAATAATAACACACAAAGAAATACCTTTTTCTTTGGATTCTGTGATGGCCCCTCTGACCCAACTCCCACAAAAGAGGCAAGGCAGGGAAGAAAGAGAGAGAATGCGCCTCAAACCCAGGTTTTATTAATGGGGGAGCTAATCCATGGAATATTCTATCCAAAAAAGGGCAAAAGGGTAGGATTACAGCAAACAGGTCAACCCCATCCGGTGACGCCCACTCCCCAAGCTACAACTTTCTTATCCAAGCAGAGGTAAAGTCCGCGTGCATTGCAGGGAGCAATGCCATTCCAGTACCTCTTTACTCAGGATTTAAAGGTGTGTGCATAGCTCCTGTTCAAGGGGGCTCCCCGGACAAGTACTCATCTTAAATATACCTAGAATCCTGTGATTTTAACATGACTTTATAGAAAGGATCTTTTCCCTATGTATTTCAGTAGTGGGTAGTAAGTATATTTCTCTTGCTTTAAAATGTGAAAAACTTTTAATGCTACTGTTATCCATGTGGAGCTCTACTTCATATTTTTAGATACTTAAAAAATAATTAGTATATTTTAAAATGGAGGGGAAATTCAAATGACATAAAAGTAAATAATTCAAATTCAAATAACATAAAAGTGAATAATTCGGTGGTGTTTAGTTCATGCACAATGTTGTACAACCATTACCTCTTTCTAGTTCCAGAACTTTTCCTTGCCTTATTTTAGCAGTTATTTTCCTCCTCTCCTGCCCCCTGGTAATCACCATTCTGCTTTCCGTCTAAATGAATTTGTCTGTGCTGGATTTTTCACATAAATGGAATATGCAATATATGACCTTTTGTGACTGGCTTCTTTTACTCAGCACAATGTCTTCAAGGTTCACCATCTTATAGATCAGGACTATTGTTTTACTTTTTTTCCCTATAGTACATTTGTGTTGTACAAGCATCACCTATCCATTTCCACAACTTGTTTATCATCTCAAACCAAACTTTGTACTTTTTAAGCAATAATTCTCTATTCCCCCTCCCCAACTCTCTAGCTGGTAACCTCTAGTGTACTTTCTGTCTCTGTGAATTTGTCTAATCTAGATGCCTCATGTAAATAAGGCATATATATATACAAACATATGTCCTTTTGTCTTGGACTTATTTACTTAGCATGTTTTCAAGATTCATCCATGTTGTACCATGTGCCAGAATTTCATTCCTTTTTTAAGGCTAAATAACATTCCTTTGTATGTATATTCTACATTTCTTTATAGATATTTGGGTTGGGTTTCCACTTTTTGACTATTGTAAATAATAGTGAACTTTTATTTATATTTTATTTTATTTATATATTTATTTATTTATAGCTACTGTGAACTTTGGTATACAAATATCTGTTTGAATCCCTGCTTTCAGTTCCTCAGTATGTGCCCAGAAGTGTAATTCCTGGGTCATGTGATAATTCTGTTTCACTTTTTGAGTGATTGTCAAGCTGTTTTTCATACCAGCTACATTTCTTTTATGTTCTTGGTAGTAATCACAAAGGTTCCACTTTCTCCACATCCTCTGCAATGCTTGTTATTTTCTATTCACAATAGTCATCCTAATGAGTGTGAAGTAGTATTACATTGTGTTTTCCCAAATGATGGTGATATTTAACATCTTCCATGCATTTATTTGCCATTTATATATCTCTTGAAGAAATGCTTATTCAAGTCCCTTGCCCATGTTTTAATTGGCTTTATTTTTCTTGTTGAATTGTAGGACTTCTTTCTGCATTCTGGATATTAATTCCGTATCAAATATGTGATTTGCAAATATTTTCTCTCATTCTAAAGGTAGTATTTTCACTTTCTCCATAGTATCCTTTGATGAACAGTTCTTAATTTTGATGAAGTCCAATTTATATATATTTTGTGTTGTTTGTGTTTTTGATGTCATAGCCACAAAATTGTTGCCAAATTCAATATCATTAAGATTTCCCCCAATGTTAACTTTCTTTTATTTATATTTAATTTTTCATCTGCATTATCTATGGAACCTTTCTTTTATATCAGAAATTTAATTTCTGTTCCCTTACATTTCAATTTCAAATTGCTTTGAGGTTTCTTTTTCTTTTTTAATAGGAAAAGGAACATAATAAATTTTACATGTTAAGGCACAGAAGTGTGAGACTTCATCATTGAATTTTAAGTTGAGTTGTAGTGACTTTTTTGTGAAAAAATTCTATTTGTTCTTGGCTTCCTTTAGTTAATTAGTTCTTTTTTTAATATTTGTTTTGTAGTTATAGATGGACAAAATATCTTTATTTTTATGTGGTGCTGAGGATTGAACCCAGTGCCTTGTGCATACTAGGTGAGCACTTTACCTCTGAGCCACAACCCCAGCCTCAGTTAATTAGTTCTTTAAAGTTATTGTCTTGAAAACCAATCTATTTCTTTAGTGTTGAAATTTCCCTTTTATTATCTTACTTCTGAGATTGTTTTACTGGATTATATTTGGATTTGATACTAATGTTTAAACACTTATGGACATTTTTCTTCTGTTCCTTGGTTATGCTTTTTCTAAGATGAATTCTGAATGTATCAGCTATGATTTGAATGTGTCCCCCAAAGTTTGTGTGCTGAACATTTGATTTGCAATGTGGAGGTGTTGGAGGGTAGGACCTTTTAGAGATGTTTAGGTCATGAGGGCTGTATCTGAATAAATGGATTAATGCTATTATCATAGGATTGGATTACTAATATAAGGAGTATGGCCCCCTTTGGCACCCTTCACCCCTCACCCTCTTGCCTTCTGTCATGGGAAAATGCATCAAGAAATTGCTCACTGGAATCCCAGTGGCTCAGGAGGCTAAGCTGGAGAATCAAAATTCAAAACCATCCTCAGCAAATTAGCGAGGCCTTAGGTAACTTAGCAAGACTCTGTCTCAAAATAAATAAAAGGGCTGGGGATGTGACTCAGTGGTTGAGTACCCCTGGGTTCAATCCCTGGTAACCCCCCAACACCCCCAAAACTGGTTGCTCACTGGATGCTGTAACTTAAATTTGTATTTTCCGGCCTCCAGAACTATGAGAAGTGAATTTCCATTTATTATAAATTACCCAGTCTCGGATAGTCTGTTATAATAGCACAAAGCCAACAAAGACAGTATTTTGGCGGGGGAGGGAAGCTTTTTCAGATTTATATTCTATATTCTCTGTATTTCTCTGATACCCTGGTGGCAGAAGGGTTTAAAGTTGGATTGAAAGAGAACTAGGTTAAGAATGTGTACTATCTTTTTTTTTTCTTTTTGGGGGTATTAGAGATTTAATCCAGGTGCACTTTACCCAAGGGCCCTTACAACTAGCTACATCCTGAGCCCTCTTTATTTTTAATTTTTATTTTTTAATTATTTTTAGATATACATGACAGTAGAGTGTATTTGGACATATTATATATACATGGAGTATAACATTCTAATTAGGATCCCATTCTTGTGGTTGTATGTGATATGGAGTTTTACTAGTGGTGTATTCATATACAAACATAGGAAAGTTATATCTGATTCATTTTACCATCTTTTCTATTCCTATCCACCCTCCCTTTCCTTTATTCCCCTTTGTCTAAATCAGTGAATTCCTATTCTCCCCCTGCCCTTAATGTGTGTTAGCATCTAAATATCAGAGAGAACATTTGACTCTGGTGTTTGGGATTGGCTTTTTTTCACTTAGCAGGATAATCTCCAGATCCATCCATTTACTGGCAAAATTGTAAAAACATTCTTTTTTATGGCTGAGTAATATTCCATTGTGTATATATACCACATTTTCTTTATCTGTTCATCTGGGCATCTAGGTTGGTTCCATAGCTTAGCTATTGTGGACTGAGCTTCTACTAAATATTTACATATCAATGTGTCAATGTAATATATCCACATCAATTAATTGCATTAGTGTAGTATGCTGATTTTAAGTTCTTTGGTTTTATACCAAGGAGTGGGATAACTGGGTTAAATGGTGGTTCCATTCCAAGTTTTCTGAGGAATCTCCATACTGCTGTCCAGAGTGGTTGCACCAATTTGCAGTCCCAGCAGCAGTGTATCTTATTTAATAAAAAAATTTTTTTTTGGTATCAGGGATTGAACTCAGGGGCACTCAACCACTGAGCCACATGCTCAGCCTTATTTTGTATTTTATAGAGAGACAGGATCTCATTCAGTTGTTTAGTGCCTTGTCAATGCTGAGGCTGACTTTGAACTCCAGAACTTTGTATGGAAGCTATAATCCCTCAGCCTCCCGAGTTGCTGGGATTATAGGTGTGCACCACCATGCCTGGCCAATGTATTTTATTTTGAGACATGCTCTCACTATGTTTCTGAATCTCTTGCTAAATTTCTGAGGTTAACGTTGAATTTATGATCCTCCATCTTACCTCCTCACTCACTGGGATTACAGGCATGAGTCACCACAGCTAGCCATATGTGATGTCTTTATTAGTTTTTTTGTTTGTTTGTTTTTTGTTTTTTGGTACTAGGGATTGAACAAACCTAGGGGCACTTAATCACTAATCCACATCCTGAGCCCTTTTTAATATTTTATTTAGAGACTGGGTCTTACTGAATTTCTTAGGATCTCACTAAGTTGCTAAGGCTGGCTTTGAATTCAAGATCCTCCTGCCTTATCCTTCTGAGCCACTGCACCCAGCTGTCTTTATTAGTGTGCACCACTGCACCCAGCTGTCTTTATTAGTTTATGTGTGCACTCTTGTATCTAAGGTTAGTTTCATTAAATACACTGTACTAGAATTCACTCCAAGTGGTTGGATTTTGGGATCTCTTATTTTATTTATTATTTTATTATTATACTTAGGAGCCATTTCCATTATATCACTTCAGCTGAGGTTAGGAATCTCATGGTGCTGAGTTCTCCCCTTTACCCCTGAATCTTTTTTAACTCCTGATGATGAGCACTTTTTTTTAAAAGTTTATGGCATTAGATTAGCCACATACCTTTTTGTGTTGCATAACTCTAAATTTGGTTCTTTATTACTGTTGTTATTTTTATTTATTTTTCTATTATTGTTCCTTTAGATATTAGGGAATGGATTCTGCAAGGCAGTTTTTTTCTTCTTTCCTAATTCGTAATTCCCCTTTACTTTTGTGTTTTAGGTTGCATTGAGTTTTTTTTTTTTTCCCCCCTGATACTGGGAATTCAACTCAAGGAAGACTTTACCACTGAACTATATCCCCACCCCTTTTTATTTTTTATTTTGAGACAAGATCTTGCTAAATTGCCCAGGCTGGCCTTGAATTTGCTGTCTTTTCTGCCTTAGCCTCTTGAGCCATTGGTATTACAGGTGTATGCCGCCACATTTGACTGCATTTGAATTTTTAGTTGAGTTGTAGTCAGTTTTGTAAAGAACCAAGCTTTCAGTTGTCTTGAGCTTTTAATTATAAGATTCAAAATTTCTATCCTCCTATAAGTGTATGGCTTCTTTTGAACCAGACTTTTTAAAACTTTTTTTAAAAAAATCTTAATTTAAAAATAATTTTCAAATTCTAAAAGTATTTTTGGGGTAGGCACTGGTTACTTAGTTCAGTATTCAATAAGAACCACAAGTATGGAGGCTGTGAAAGCTTCTACTTTGGTCCCTCAATCACTATTTCTCTTTCCCACAGCAATAGTCATCCTTTTTTTATATCTTTCCAGTGATATTTTATAACTGTAGGAGCAAATACATAAATTATTTCCCATTTGTTTTAAAAAAATGGTAACATATATGTTCTTCTGCTTTTTATTTTTCCACTTATCTGTTGTTAATGCCTTTTAAAATGTGAAGTATATTTTTATTCGGGGAAATTTTAAAAGGGCAAATAAAGAATAGACTGAAAAATGATTTAGTCATCAAGTAGAATAATATAGAAATTTTAAGATGAATGAACTAGATCCATACAGATAATTCTCAAAAATATAATGGATGTTGAAAGAAACAAGGTGCAAAGGGATACTTATTGAAAATGCCATTTATGTGAATTTCAAAAACATGTCAGATGATTATTTATAGACATATACCAGTGTAATACACAACATATAAAAGTGCATGGGAATGCTATAAAACAAATTCAGGATTGGGATCATTTCTGGGGAAAGTGGTAGAGCAAAATAATGTGGGGGGAATTTTGCTATATATGTCATACTTTATTTTTAACCAAAGAGAGTTGTGAAGCAAACATGACCAAAGCTAATAACAAATCTGGTTGCTTGGCACATGGATGTCATATTATTTTATTTACTTTTCTGTATATGTAAACTAGTTCATAATTAAAGTAAAAGAAATAGGTAATATCTAGTATTCATTATAGGAAGTGTTAAATTGCAAAAAAGCAAAGGTAAAAATAATGCATCTATAATATTTTAGTATTTTTCTCTTTCATCTTTTATGCTAGGGCTATATACAAATATCAAATGTATGTATTTTTACACAGTTGAAACCATATAAAATAAACGTAATTTCTATTCTGCCTTTTAAAATTTTCTACTATACTAAATCATTTCTCCTTATTATTACTAGTTTTGTAACTATCTCTTGTCAAAAATATATAGAATCATTAAATATTAAATTGTGTGGATATTATTCAGTCACTTCTCTAACATTGAACATTTGGTTGCTTCTATTACAAATAATGATCCTTTGAGCATTTTTTTACATAATGATTTTTGCAAAGAGTTTCACATGCCTTCTGATTTGGACTTATCAACGTAGACAGATCTGTGCCCCATAGAGTAATTAGAATTGATTTCTTATGTGTTTTTCCCCCATGGAAGATATTTTGTCCATGTAGTCATCAATATTGTTTTAATTATACAAGTATTATTATTAGAGTTCCTTGTAGGTGTTGGGTATGTTCTAGCAATACTACAGAACTTCTTGCAAATAAAGAATATGATATAGAAGATTGGAAGAGACTTGGATATTATGATGCATTGATGAAATTTGAAACATTTTTGAAGATTCAGATTGAAAAAAGGACTCTACCCACAGAGGAAAGTTAATTAATAAAAAAATTTATTTATAAAATAGCATTTTCTAATTTTTAAAAAGATCTTTTAAAATTGTACTATTAGGTTTATTCCAGCATGTTATGTGCTAAACTTATTAGATAATCATAAGTTGAAGATTTGATGTGTTTGATGTTTTATAATTTTATAGTGTAATAGTTTACCATGAATTTATTTTTTATTTTTCTTCAGTATTAAGGATCAAACCTGAGCCTCACACATTTCTAAACAAGCCCTCTACCACCAAACTAGATCTCCTAGTAACTAACTTCTTTTATATTTTTATCTGTGGTTTGTTGTATCATGATTGTAACTCATCCTCTAAGAATATAATATTTTAAAATGTTTAAATATTATCATTTTTTAAGAGAAAAAATGCTCTGTTTTAATTTGTTTTTCTACATTTAAATTTTTTAGGGTCATAAGCCAATTCTGTTGAGAACCCAGTATCGTTGTCATCCTGCAATCAGTGCTATTGCCAATGATCTATTTTATGAAGGAAACCTCTTGAATGGCATTTCAGAGATAGAGAGGAGCCCTTTATTGGAGTGGCTACCCACCCTGTGTTTTTATAATGTTAAAGGACTGGAACAGGTAAATGACATTAGTGTTGATGGAAGTCAACACGATTTAGTCTCTCCGTTTAATTTTATTGTTGTTTGTAGGTTTACTTGGTCTTTCTGTAGCCTTTCTGGGAAATATAATTTTGGTTCTGTTTCTTATTCCAGATTGAAAAAGATAACAGCTTTCATAATGTGGCAGAAGCTGCTTTTACTCTCAAGTTGATTCAATCATTGATAGCAAGTGGAATCGCCAGCCCTATGATTGGAGTGATAACATTATACAAATCCCAGATGTACAAGGTTTGTGTTACATATTATATTTGTCACGTTAAGCATTATATTTATATATGACAATATTTAATATTACATTTGTAGTCGTTTGGTTTGCTTAAAAAACTTTTGTGACTGTAATTTATATAGTAAAAAAGGAAACATTCTGATTTTTGTTTTCTAGCCTGGCTTTTTTTCTGCATAATTAAATGTAAACCTAACAAGGTTTAATTAAATTCAGTTTACAGCTGTTGGGACAAAATGCAAATAAACAAATTAGAGGGAAGAAAATATGGTGTATGCTTTGTGTTTTGAGACAGATGGGATTGAATCTGTTTTCTAAAATGTTCTCTCATTATTACTACATTTACCAGTAAGTCAAGGGTAGATACTAGATATTAATGTACACCTGAGCCAATTACTTCTAAGTAGATTTTTCTTTTAGTATTCTTTTCTTTTTCATTGTTTGCTTATTTATGAGCTCTAAATTAGCATATCCAAATGAGTTTCCTAGCAATAGATAAGTCATTTTGTTTTGTTTCATAATTAACATTGTCATTTATCTATCATTTTAGAAACTATCTAGCCAAGTCTATGTAAGTCATGAAAGAGAAATGTTAGTTTAATTAAGATGGTGGCTGTGAGTAGGTCTGGGGATTTACCTTTTGCACTGTCTCTGCACTGCATGATTCTTGCCTTCTTTCCTCCACAGCTCTGTCATTTACTCAATGCTGTGGACTTTGACCATCCTAATATTAAAAGTGTGCAGGTATCCACAGTAGATGCTTTCCAGGGCGCTGAAAAGGAGATCATTATTCTTTCCTGTGTAAGGACAAGACAAGTAGGATTCATTGATTCAGAAAAACGAATGAATGTTGCACTGACCAGAGGAAGGAGGCATTTGTTGATTGTGGGAAATTTAGTCTGTTTGAGAAAAAACCGACTATGGGGGCGTGTGATCCAACATTGTGAAGGTAAAATAGAAATGTATTTCTTTCAAGCATTTTGAATTAAAACTGACTCTCGTGGGTTAATGTGTGGGATGGTTTGGGCAGGAATAGCTCTAGATTTGTCATTGTAGGAGAGAACTGGTATGATAATATGGAGACCACTATAAAATAAAGAATAATTGTCTCCTGTTTTGTATCTTTTTAAGGAAGTGAAAATGGATTACAACATGCAAGCCAGTGTGAACCCCACCTAAACAAGCTGCTTAAAGATTATTTTGAAAAACAAGCAGAAGAAAAACGGAGTAAAAAGACTGAAAAAGAAAAATCTAAAGATAAATCTCATTCACAAAAAGACATAATTTAGGAATTTTGTATTTATGTAAATTGATTCATTTTCAAAACTCTTGTAAGAAAAAAAATGTATAGTATCTTAAAAACATGCTAAGTAAATACATCTAAAAATTTACTCTGCAAAAAAAAAACATGCATTACTTATACTCAAATAAATATTTTGTTTGCAAAATAAATAAATTTTGACAGGGCATAGTGTTGCATGCCTGTAATTCCAGGGCCTTGGGAGGTTGAGGCAGGAGGATCACAAGTTCAAAGCCAGCCTCAGCAACTTATCGATGCCCCAAGCAACTTAGCAAGACCCTGTCTTAAAATAAAATATAAAAAGAACTAATGCTGTAGTTCAATATTTAAGCACCCCTGGCTTCAATCCCTGGTACTAAAAACAAACAAACCAAAAAAAGGAATTTTGCAAGGGGTAGTGGAAGCTTCCTGGGGAGTGCCAGCACACTTCTGTTGGACGCATCTGTACAAATACACCAACACAACCTTTTCTGAACTATTATTGTATTCATCTTTTAGAAATATACCATCCACCATTTTAAAAGCAAAGACATTCACAATTACACTTTTAATAAGTACAAAAGAGAAGGAAGAAATAACACCAAGTTCACAGTTGGAGATGTAAACCAGCTAGCCAGCCTGGTTGAGTAGCTGCTTAATAGGTACCCATTAGATGAATGAATGAATGATGAAAGACTACCTTTGACTCACTTCCTTCTGGTCTTTCCTTTCTGCATTTACTTGCACAGTAGTTATTGGTGTATAAAATATATGTGGATTAAAATTTTTTGTTATAAAAATAACACATTCTCCTTATATAAAATTCACAAAATACAGAAAAGTATTCAAGGGGAAACAAAATTACTTAGAATTTCACTAATCCACTATTCAGAGATAATGATTAACATAATGCTTCAGTCTTTCTATATTTATATTCTCTTCATCTATCTGTATGTATACATGTATATACATATATGTAGTTTTAAGCCCCTTAAGTTCATACTGTTTATTTTTATTTTTTGGTACTGGGGATTGAACTCAGAGGCACTCGATCAGTGAGCCACATCCCCAGCCCTATTTTGTATTTTTATTTAGAGACAGGTTCTCACTGAGTTGCTCAGTGCCTCACCATTGCTGTGGTTGGCTTTGAATTCGTGATTCTCCTGCCTCAGCCCCTGAGCTACTTGGATTATAGGCATGTGCCACTGTGCCTGGTTTCATACTGATTTTTAGACAACATTAACAAAGGAACATTTATATACCCTGGGTGGAAAAAAAAATGGTAAGTGCTTGATTTTAATTAAAATCAAGTATTTGTCTTTACCAATCAAAACAAAACAAAACAAAAACTTAGTGACCTAAGCCATTCAGTATTAATTTTAAAGATGCAGAAAATTGTTTCCTTGAGTTACTTTACAATAAAAAATTACCTGTCTATTTCCAGGGAACTCTTATGGTAGGGAGAAAAATTAATTCAACAAACAAAACTTGTGCTTTGGCAATTCTCTAAACCTTGTGTCAAATGTGTTGCAGAGTACAGTGAAGTCAAAGATGTAATTCTCAGCAAGTTCTTCCAGTGGGTAAGGAATAGGTGAAAGAAGTATCAGAGCCATGGTTTCCCTTTGAGCTGTACGATCAATGGATATTGAAACTGGATTCCCAAGCTTTGCTGCCCAAACTTCCCCTGTTCTTTATTTCTTTTTCTTTTTTTTTTCAATATCTTTATTTTATTTAATTTTTTTATGTGGTGCTGAGAATCGAACCCAGTGCCTCACACATGCTAGGTGAGCACGCTACCACTTGAGCCACATCCCCAGCCCCTGTTCTTTCTTTCTTTTTTTTTTAAAGAAAGAGAGAAATTTTTTTTTAATATTTATTTTTTAGTATTTGGCGGACACAACATCTTTGTCTGTATGTGGTGCTGAGGACCGAACCCGAGCCGCACGCATGCCAGGCAAGCGCGCTACTGCTTGAGCCACATCCCCAGCCCTGTTCTTTTTTTCTTAATTTTGAGTCTCTTCTTGGCCAGCTGGAGTGAGGTGTCAAGATATTGTTTTTCCAACAAGATTGTGTATATGATATATTGTTTTGAGCCTTTGTACATCTGAGGATGAATTTCTGTTAACATATACTTAAAGGGAACTGTCTTAACACTGAGAATACTTTTGGCCTCATTTTTTGTTCATTTGGAGGAGCGTTGAATTTGCATCTGTAACTGTACAGCTGTTTGCACAGTTCATCTAGAACTGCTCAAAGACCAATAAGATTTTTCACCCTTGTGCTGTGCTTTCATTAGTTCCTCCTTCTCCTCTGCCTCTTATTTTGTCAATTTTCCAGAAATTGCAGTTTGTACAACATTTTAGGAACAATTTAGGTCTTGATGGTATAGAGCTGGATTTCTCAACTTTGACACTTTTGCATTTTGGGCCAGACGATTCTTGTAAACATCTGTCCTGTGCCTCACAAGTTATTTAGAAGCATCCCCATCTTCTGCCCTCAAGCTGCTAGTAGCTCCTTACTCCCAAGTTGTGACAATGAAAAAAATGTCTTCAAAAATTGCCAAATATCCTGGTGTAGAGCCGATGGGCCCAGCATTCTAGCTGTCTCAAGAAGCAGCAACTGGGCAGGCACAGCAGTGCATGACTGCAATCCTATCCACTCAGGAAGTGAAAACAGGAAGATCACAAGTTTGAGGCCAGCCTGGGCAACTTTGCAAGACCCTACCTCAAAATAAAAAGATGGGGTTGGGGGGTTGTAGCTTAGGAATAAAGCACCTCAGTTCAAGCCCCATGGAGGGAGGCAAAAGCAACTGCACTTAAATGTATGGCTGCCTTCATGTTTTGGTTGGTATAAACTTTTTTTTTTTTTTTAATCCACACAACAGTTAAAAAAGAAGAGCAAAGGATATTTTGATTTGTTTCATTTTTTAAAGTTTTAGATATGCATGTACCTGCTTTATTTCTGATGGCATTGTACAAGTAGCCCACCAATTGTTTTTAATTCATCCTCCAGGCAGTTCATGTTTACTTCTCTCAACTTGTAACAATAGATTAGCTATAAAGGTCAAATATATTTATATAATGTGTCTTCATTTTTTAAAAAATATGAAATCTTTTTTTTCTTCAATTTTGGGTATTGAATGTAGGGTCTTACACATGGTATGCAAGTGATCTACCACTGAATTACATTCTCAATCCTTTTTTAAAAATTTTATTTTGAATCTGATCTTACTAAGTTGGCCCAAGTTGGTCTTGAACTCATGATCCTTCTGACTCAGCCTCCCAAGTAGGTGGGATCACAGATGTTCACCATCATGCCTAGCTTTCTAAAACCTTTTAAAATGGGAACACATTGAAATCTTTAAAAGAATATCCCACTTAACAATATTCTTCTTGTTTATAACATAAGAAGTTAATACAAATAGGTTGTAGTAGATGGCCAAGAAATCGATAATATACTGTGATTTGTGCTAATGGGTTTTATCTTTTGACTACATATCTATTTTTTTCCCTTTTTCTAATTTGTAGTATAATTATAACAAATCTTTCAGAATTGCTTCTGGCCTAAACCTTTTCATTCTTTCTAGTCCACTTACATAGTCACTATAATAAGCCCTCTTTTGGACTAGGCACTTTTGAAGAAAAAAAGAAGTAATAGTGATATGGGGGCAGGAGTGAGGGAAAAGATGAAAATGGCTTAGTTCCTGTTCCTTTGCCTCCCCCATTCCCTTACCTCATGGCAGAGATTTGTTCTTCAGGCTTCCTTACTCTCTGGGTGGACCTGTCTTATACTGGATATGGTAATGGTGGTTTCAGTTTTCCTCTCTTCCATCCTGCAGAGAGACTAGTAGAATTTGGTTACAGAATGTTACCCCACGGTGTAATGTCTGCTGCAGCAGGCCTTGCTTTATACCTAGTGATCAAATCATGCAATGGGATATTGTCTCATTCCCTGTCCATCAGAACCTAAGCTTTCATTCATTCCTTTTCCCCAGGACTATTACAATAGAAATGAGGTAAGGGATAAAGGTTGCTCATTTCTTCAAACACCCAGTAAGAAGCAGAGGATCTATTGGCTCATCTACTTTATTATTGTTAGAGATTAATAAATCAAAACAATTTTCTAACTGGGTAATGTTGACTATTCCTGAGTTGTCTTTGGTTTATCACGTATTTTGAGTGAAAATGTACTTATCTGAGCCCTGAATATTATTATTTATATTTTTCAAGAAGAAAAAGACCTTAGATTTTGGCATAGAAAAATCCCCCCCGCCAAACCAGGCTAAAACATTCCTTATGTCTTTTGCCCCAAATTCCAAGGTTGGATGTACATAAATTGAATTTTAAGGAGTATCCCATTCAATGAACAATCAAAACATTAAAGTTTCTAATGATTTACAATATATTGAAATAATAAGTCAGTTTTACAATGATAGCCATTAAATAGCTATAAATAAAATCTTGAAACCCTACCATCTTGTGTTCAATAAATAATAGGATTATATAAGAATGTTCTGAGGCTGTTATTTATAGAAAAATTATTAGCTTATGTATCACATATCAAAACTGAAATTTCTAGGCTTTGTTTTAATCTAGTCTTTAATTGCCTTTATATGGGATATATTTTGGGTTTGTTTTTTTCCAAAACCAACAAGTATTTCCTGCAATTCATAATGAATAAAAAAAATTCAGAGAAATTGAAGTGATCCATTTGATCTTCCACAACTAATATGAAGCAAGGCTGGAACCCAGGCTAATCCAACTTGGAGGTGAAGCTACAACTTACCACCTACATTTATCAAAGGGTAATAAACATGGCACCAAAAATCTGACAATCCTCTTTGGCCCCATCAGACTCATGTTCTGATAATTTACCTTGGTTAATTTAAGATTTAATGATTGAGTAACAATTTGTTTGAACAATTCATATGACAAATATTTTTATTAAAGAATAAGCTCTTTGAACATCTACATTTGCTACTGGATCTGGTATGCTACTTAATGCAAGAAAAAGTTATTTTAAAAATTTTATTTTTACTTATA